TATAAAATAAACCACAAAAATTATAAAAAAACCCATTAAAATAATAAAAATTTAAATTACAGTACCAAAGTTTTTTTCAATTATAGTGTAGTGAAATCCTAAAAAGATACTTAGGTGCCGGCTGAAATATTTTGTTAAATTGGTGGGGGCCATAAATAGTCATTATATATATTTATAATGTAACACATGACAGATTTTAAAAAATTATTTACATTCTATTGTATTTTCAGACATGAATTATCCGTAATATATATATATATATATATATATGTGTGTGTGTGTGTGTGTGTGTGTGTGTGTGAGTGTGTGTGTGTGTGTGATTATCTGATTGTTTGACAATATTATATTTTATAAATCTCCTTCTTAGGAATCTTTTACTTGCTCAAAAATAAATCCAAACAAAACCCATGGCGTGGTCTCGAAGTTAGTTGACTGTCCATAATCACCTTATGCTATTTGATTCCTATGAAGCCCTCCTTGTGTCTGATGCTAGATAGTTTGACCATCACAATTCTTCTTCTTCTTATTATTTTTTTTAATTGTCAGGTGTATTTAGATCAGTTTATATGTACTTCGATTAATCTCTTCCTTAGTTCGGTCAAAATTTGGTCATCCACGTTGAGATTAGGGTATTCATGAAGAACAAATCCCTCATGAACTGATTCCAATAAATTATCAAAATTTAAACTTAGAACATCAAATTTATCACAATTCTTGATAACTTAATTGCATAACATGTCTCAAATGTACCATTACCCCCACAAAATAACGGTGGTAATTTTAAAAAATCACAGTATTGGATTAATTTTATCCAAGGTTCCACTAAACCCATTGCGGAAATAGACTCAGTAAGGTGGGATAAGTCTGTTGGATTGGGTTTGGGATAAAATCAAGTGCTATAAGAGCAGACTGGCTATAAAAGAGAAATGAGTTGATAGTTGATGCAAAATGACCAAATGTTATGATCCAATGAGGCCATGTATTAATAAGTGTCCAAACTTTGAGTTGGATCGGATAAAAGTGGGCTCAAACTAAGCCTATTTTCTTATCAAATTGGCAATGGATTGGAACCTCAACGACCCAATCCCTGAAAAGCGGGATTGGTAAGTTAGTTGTGCTACTTAGGATCGGATTGATAAGGTAAGAACAATTTAAATCCATACAATTGAGGGTTTGGTATAGGTTTGGATAGACATCTGATATATTTTTACCTTTATCTCATGTTTGAAAATAGTAGAATAGGAGTAGAAAAAATATGTGGGTCTTGCAATTTGACGTCAAATTAGATGCACTTTTAATAGTATTGTCCTTCGTTCAATTAAGTGTTTTGATTTGATATAATTACATATTAGTAATTTTAATGCTAATCCCAAATTATCTATTTGGATACCAACCCTAGGTGGCTTTCTACAACCCCATCTACATGGGTTTAGGCCTTGGCAACGGCCCGACCAACCCATGACTTTTCAGCCCATAGCTTGTCCATGGGTTGTGTCTATGGGCTTTGACCAGTATAATATAGGATTTTTTTGGTGTGAGTATATTTTTTTAAACTTATTTGAGATGAAGTATATGAATAAGTATTTTATTCTATTATGTCTAATTTTAATAAAAATATATTGTGATTAGATATAAAATTTAAATGACATTTGAATTTTTTTACTTACTTACTCTTCCTTAAATTATGCATAATTTTTATTCTTTGGCTCTCTCTCTCTCCCCTATTTTCTCTTCAAAAAACTCTTTTCTATTTTTTCTCTCTATCTCCAATTGATAATTTATTTTATTTTCAAATATGTAAAAATTTGATTTGATTTTTTCATCTCTTTCCCCTAACATGACAACAACATAATTATACTAATCAATTATATCAATCAATTACAATTGCCTTATAATACACCACATAGTTATTTATCTGTTTTAATAAACAAAACAGGTACACTAAACAATTATATAAAATTATGACATCAACCTAATTTGTTATTTAGTTGTTTACATGAACCAAAGATTTGCATCATTTAATCTCTCCATCTCTGGTAAGTGTGAATATGTGTATATATTGACACTGGTACAATTATCATGCAATTGAAACAAACATTGCAAGTTCCACTAGTCTCGCAGAAATCAATAAAATAAGAAGAAATAGTGACAAAAAATACTACCACCTAATTTGGGTTCTAGCCAATCATAAAGTAATTTGTTTGATGTGTAGCAACTTGGCTGCTATAATAATAGGTGTGAAATTGATGCATAGATATCGCCCACAACCCAAGCGATGTAAACCATTGCCTCTGCTCCTCTCCACCGCCACCACCCCCAGCCACCATCCACCCACAATTGAATTATATTGATGGATTTTTAGTGATAACAACTCAAAATAATAGTCCAACTGAATAAATCCAAAAAAAAATACACATCTTAAAATTGTTAACAATGGCTTCCAGTCGTTTGGAAAAGAAAGCTGGGAAGACGATCACAAATTCCATTTATACTCTCATAATTTTAGTGTATTTATATTTTTACCCCTTAATTTTCAAAAACATCATTATTACCCCTCAAGTTTCAAAAATAATATTATAACCCCAGAACTTTTCTAAAAATTCTTTTTCTTCATATAACTTTAAGGCATCTTTGACACATTATTAGATTATGTGTGGGGTCTATATCTATAACTAATGCTAGAATTACCAACTGCTTATAACTAATTCTTTTCTCTCTATTTACTTTCTATCATAAATTGTATAAGTGGAGTTTGTATAAGTGGAGTTTAGCCTCATGTGAGGCTTCAATACTCAGTTCCTATTGGTTGAAATTTTGGAACTGTGTGCTTTATGGAGGATGACAAAATTGATTATGTGTGTAGTTATCAAATATTTTATGTTTAATTTTTATAATTATGCAGTTAGCAAATGTTTAACATTTATGTGTGTTTATGAATATTGATGATTTTTTGTGTTAGTTTAGTGGTGTATGCTTTGATAATAGTTTATTATTTTTAATTTTTAATGTTCGTGTGGTTTAGTTGTAGATGTATTGTCATTAACTGATTGTTGTTAAATGTTATATATTAAAAGTGTATTGTTTGTACATTGATTTAGGTTGGTTTTTTTAAATTTTTAATTTTAGGATAAAATTTTGCATAAAATTAAAAATATTTCTATTAAACACACATAAAATATATAATATCTCTAAGTTTAATGCTTCTTTTTTCAAAGTTTTACAATTTAACATTTGACGCTAATAATCGCATACACACCGTCACTACAACACAAAAATCAGTACCCAAATGGACAATTTCACAATTTTTGGACATGTAAGTTATTTAGTATATCAATTTTTTCAAAATCTTGGGTATAATATTTCATTAAAAACCATTATATACTTACTATATAATTTTTGATCCTTATTACAAACTGATTCATCTTAGAGTATACTGTAAGTAGATCTTCTTGTCATGTATCTTAGTACCGATAGTTGATATTTACTTCTTACTTTTTATCAATCAATAAAGTTTAAATTGTCTTTATAATCCATAAATAAATCATCAAGTTATTATTCATACTAAAAATAAATCACTACTGTATGAAAACTTATAGTTCTCAGAAAATAAAATAAAAAAATTCAAAGCCCAAGTTAATCAGCAATTAAAAAAAAATAAGTGACCAGTACAAAAAAAATAAGATATTAATTGTACCAATAAAAAATATTCAAAATCAATCTAATCGCCATGTATTAAAATTATTCAAACATTTTATCTTTGTGTGTTAAAATTTTATAAGTAATATAATGTCTTTCAAGTACGAATAATGATTAGTATATATATATTATCTCATCTTGTCAATTTTAGAAAGGAGGACAAGTTATGGGTCCAAAAGTTTTAAATTTTTTTATCAATCAAAGTAAGACACGTATAAATTTTTTGATATTTTATTCTTTTATTTTTTATTATTATTAATTTATCCTCATACTTAACAACTATACAAACCAATTAAAAAATTATGATCAAATCAAAAATTAGTATCAAGAACTGTTCCTTTTTTTTGGTAATGGGATTGAGGATATCTGGATTAATTTATGTGCACCTCAAATAATTCTTTTCTTGGTTTGATCAAAAATAAGTTATCCACTCTGAAACTAAGAGATTCATGAGGAATAAATATTACATGATTTGACTCCCAAAAAATTCACAGACTGTTGGAGTTTCATGTGAGTTGCACATGATAGGCTTACCATTTATCTGATTAATGAAATTCTATTTTCAATATATAAAATAGTGTCAAATTGATCGCAGAAGAAGATCTGCACCGATGAACATACCTCATACTCATATCTGAAGCACTTGTACCTCACGTGTTTTAATTTACGACAAAAAATTAAACGACAGTCTGAGTTATGTTCACATTACTACTAATTCATAACATTTAAAGTGTGCAAATTAAGTAGTGTAATGTTTGAATATACAAATTACAAAATTGAAATAACTTTGATAGTGTAAAGTGAGATTAGCCCTTTCGGGAGTCATTTCAAGTTCAAGTTTACATATAAACTTGAAGGAATAGACAAATTTAAATAAGTGTAAAATAAAAATATAAAAATAAATACTACTTAAAATAAACATATAAAAAATTACTTAAAAACGAGTCTAGCCGGCTATTCATATAACAAAGTAACAAACAGCGATGGGGATTCACTGCTTGTATTGATTTTTGTTTTGATGTACATCACAAGTTTTTCACATGAAAACTTTTTACTTTCGGAAAAAAAACAAAACAACGATGGAATCTTCAAAGCAGCCAACATCTCGTGGATGCCTAGGTATTTATTTTAAAATATTAATTCTCTGTAATATTATATTTTGAATCATTTTGTAAGGAATCGGCTAGAAAAGAGGGTTCACTCCCCCAACGCTGTTGAAATATATAGCAAATCCCTATAGAAAGAGGGCTGCAAAAATTATTTAATTTCATGAGCATATAAAAAAATTATTTTAATTTATATAATTAATTTTCACAAGCATCTCTGTCAGATATAAAACATGTTATTATATTTTGTAGGCCCGAAAAGTGGCTTTTCCTGAAAGAGATTATTTTAGCATCCAAACCATTTACACGAGTCACCCACCCAAGCCATGGGATACAATCCCCAACATTAAAAACACCCAATAATTGCACAAAACCCCCCAACAATTCCATAACCTCTCCCCCTCCACTGTACTTTCTTCCCAACGCCACCCTACAAACCACATCATTTGTAAGTGAAAATAATATCTCACTCAAATTCACTACTGAAGCAGAAGAAGAAGAACAGTTCTGCCTAATTTTCTGAATCATAAGTGCTGTTTCTTCTTCTCTGACGTTTTTGAATGACTGAACCCTCCTGTTACTTAAAAGTTGGAGCACAGATATGCTTTTCACCTGTCTCCAATACACTCCATAAGAAGCAAATGCTATGTCCTTAGAGTCATAGAGAAGTCTATTGGCAATGCTTGATTTGGGTCTGTTTGAGAATATCAGGTCATGGGATTTCTTGATTTCGTGGGCCGAATTCGCTGAGGAGACTATGAGCACTGGTACACCGCCGAGGTGAAGCAGCATGAGTAGGCCATAACGTTGACCTAATGCTCGGAGCGAGCGGTGAGGTAATAACCCAATCTGGCGAAGGTTTCCAATAATTGGAAGCTTAGGTGGGGAAGGAGGTAGGTTTTCTTGGGTTTTTGGAGTATTGAAAAACCATTTGAGAAGGAAGACAATGAAGAAGAACAAGGAGAGGAGAGAGAAGACTAAGAGATGCCATTGGAACACCATTGTTTCTTGCTCCAGCACTTTGCTTAAACTTTTTTTTTTTTTCGGAAAGTAAATATATTAAAATAAACCAGATATACAAGGAATCAAAGGGAGGTTACGTAGGACTCAAACACACAACAAAAATTCAACAATTTAAAGCTCCAAAACACAAGTTTGTAAGAGATGTCCGACCGAAGGTATCCGTCATAGAATTATAATATACATTAGAAACAAAACAGACAAAGCAGCCAGTGTGAACCGAACCGAAAATTCTGCTCGAAAAAACCAGCAGCAAAAACCTGTTGAACAGTCCAGTGTCACACCAGATAAAGCAGAAAGACTCCAGCTGAAGCATGCAAACTATTGAGAAGACCAGCTGTTGTGAAAGCCCAGCTGCAATCCAGCAGTGTACGTGCTAGTTGGAGTCAAGAACCCCCAGCTGCAGCAGCTAGCTGAAAAGGCTCCAATTAATCACACCAATGCAGCCCAGCCAATCCAATCAACAAGTCAGCATAATAAATTAGCATAGAAACCCATCTGCATCGGGAACAAAACAGCAGTGAAAAAATAGCAGGGATATCCCATCCAACAAAACACCAGATACAGGGAACCAAGAATAAGAAAGGCCATCCACCCTCCGTAAAAGCAACACATGCACAGGGTAAAAAACCAACAGAACATCACCATGAAACGCAAGAGGGACTAAATTGAAGTAAGGAAGCGCGACTAACGAAAGTCAAAGGTCAGCAAGAAATGTAGAGAAAATAGGCCAAGAAAAGTAATATTTGAATGCTGTTTCACTTTCTGGAGGACTCTCTCTCTCTCTCTATATATATATGCTTGTGGATGTCAAACTGATCATGTTATCAGACCCACCACCATTGAAATTTACTTGTGGTCTATGAATTCACTTCGACAAGATTCACCTATTTGTATTGAATATTATATGACATATAATATTCGTCGGATATTTAAAAATATATATTAAATACATGTCAAACATATGTAATAATAAATAAAATATATAAATATTTCACCAATACTTCTAATATGTGCAATTTTTAGTTTTAATCTTTACATATGTCAACAAAAATTCATATGACTTGAAAAATACATGAGTATTTTTCAAGTATTATTCATTATCACATGTCAAAAGAGTTTAAATGAGCTGATTATTATATAATCTGAACAACAAATACTTTTACAACAAATAATATAATTAAATGTTGATTCTTATTCTTTTAATTAATCACGCTTACTTTGTAGTTGTACCATATTGAGAAGATGTGTAACTTTTTAAAAATAAAAAATTATTAATATTGTTTATTATTATTAAAGAATCACTAAAAATTATAGCAATCAAGTCATTACATAATATAAAAATAAAAAATATATATTTATAAATGTATCATGATTGTACTCATATTATATTTTTTAGAGTTTTATAATATTATTGTATATATATCATATCACATCCGTATCTGGTATTTATAACAACACGTGACAAGTTTTAAGAATCTTGCAATCAATAAACTGAAAAAAAAAATATCAAACTTGAAGATAAGGTTGGGAATGCAAACAATTATTTTTTTAGTGTGAGGCCAAGGTTGGTTCCCCGTTCACTTTCTAGCAAAATGGTCTTGTTACGTTACGTTTAATTGTACCTGCACTAATCATCCTCTGAAAATTGTTCATATTGCAGACTAGGCAATTGTTCTTGTGTGTGGTCATGAAAAATTTTGTGCTTATCTTCAAGTTTGATTTTTTTTTTTGGCGGTTCGTTGGTTACAAGATTCTTAAAACTTGTCACATTTTGTTATAAATACAAGATACGGGTACAATTCAATACAAATATGATAATACTATAAAACTCTAAAAAATAGAATATTGGTATGATCATGATACATTTATAAATATATATTTTATATTTTTATTATTATGCAATGACTTAATTGCTATAATTTTTAGTGATTCTGCAACAATAATAAACAATAATAATAATTTTTTATTTTTAAAAAGTAACCTATCTTCTCACTATGGTACATCTACAACGGAAACATGATTAATTAAAAGAATAAGAACTAACGTTTAATTATATTATTTGTTTAAAAGTATTTGTTGTTAAGATTGTAGAATAATCAACTCATTTAAACTCTTTTGACATGTGATAATGGATAAAACTTGAAAAATACTCACATGTTTTTCAAGTCATATAAATTTTTGTTGACATATGTAAATATTAAAACTAAAAATTACACATATTAGAAGTACTTGTGAAATATTCATATATTTTATTTATTATTACAAACGTTTAGTGTATATTTAATATATATCTTCAAATATCCAACGAACATTATATGTTATACAACATTCAATGTAGGTATATCGATCTTATCGAATAGGATTCATAGGAGCTTTGACCCCAACCCATGGGATTTTTAAAAAATATATTCAAAAGAGGGTTATTTTAAAAGTATTTTTCAAATTCGAGTAGTTTTTAAAAGGTTAGACGTTTGTAGACCAAAAAATGTTAATTGGATTAACGTTTCTAGCACTAAAACGTCAGACCAATTGATATTTTTTGTAACGACATATGAGACTACCTAAAAACGCCAGTTGGAATGTCGTTTTAGGAAAAACCTTTAGTTAAAATGACATTTTTTGAGAAAAAGTCTGTGACGGCTTTTAAAAACGATAGTCCTACTTACGTTTTTAGTTCAGCAGACCAGGGAATGATATGTCTTTTGTGTGTTAAAATTACTAAAGGCCTCAAGCTAAAGTACACCTTCTTCTATTCACTTTCGTGTTCAATTGGTTCTGAATTTGTGGACGATATTTGTGTCTTTGACATTTCATTTAAGTGGGGTAGTTCATTGAAGGACAACAAAAAAGACCCATCCTCCCTTGGTCTGCTAAAAACGTTATTCCACAAGCATATATTGTCCTCCAGAAAGTGAAACAGCATTCAACTATTGGTAAGTATAAGCAAAGTGTTGGAGCAAGAAACAATGGTGTTCCAATGGCATATCTCAATCTTCTCTCTCCTCTCCTTGTTCTTCTTCATTGTCTTCCTTCTCAAATGGTTTTTCAACACTCCAAAAACCCAAGAAAACCTACCTCCTTCCCCTCCTAAGCTTCCAATTATAGGAAACCTTCACCAGATTGGGTTGTTACCTCACCGCTCGCTCCGAGCATTAGCTCAACGTTATGGCCCACTCATGCTGCTTCATCTCGGCGGTGTGCCAGTGCTCATAGTCTCCTCAGCCGATGCAGCCCACGAAATCATGAAAACCCATGACCTGATATTCTCAAACAGACCCAAATCAAGCATCCCCAGTAGACTTCTATACGACTCCAAGGACATAGCTTTTGCTCCTTATGGAGAGTATTGGAGACAGGTCAAAAGCATATCTGTGCTCCATCTTTTAAGTAACAGGAGGGTTCAGTCATTCAAACATGTCAGAGAAGAAGAAACAGCGATCATGATTGAGAAAATCAGACACAAGCGTTCTTCTTCTTCTTCTGCAGTGGTGAATTTGAGTGAGATGTTGATGGTTCTTACAAATGATGTGGTTTGTAGGGTGGCTTTGGGAAGGAAGTACAGTGGTGGAGGAGAGGGTGGGAGAGAGTTTAAGGAGATTTTGGGGGGGTTTGTGGAATTATTGGGTGTTTTCAATGTTGGGGACTATATTCCATGGCTTTCTTGGGTGAATCGGGCCAATGGTTTGGATGCTAAAGTGGAGAAAGTTGTTAAAGGGATTGATGAATTTCTGGAGGGTGTTGTTAAGGATCATCTGGAGAGGAAGAAAGGAAAGAATGATGATGGTGAAACTGTTGAAGAAGGGACAGACTTTGTGGATATTTTGCTGGAAATTCAAAGAGACAGCAGCACTGGCTTTCCGATACATAATGAAACCATCAAAGCTCTCATCATGGTTAGTCTCTCTCTCTCTCTCTCTCTCTCTCTCTCTCTCTCTCTCTCTCTCTCTCTCTCTCTCTCATTTCCATTGGGTTAGCTAACTCTAGTTTAAAATAGGGTTAATAGTATTTTTTTTAATATAAAGCATGCCCGTTTTGACAATTTAATTCTCATTATTTTAATTTTATTAATTTGAACTCTAGCATTTTAATTTGTGTCATTTTGATCTCTAATCAAACAATTTGTAAACTTTTGTGATAGAAGTAATTATGTGTTATTTTTTTAGACGGTATCATTTGTCAAACACGTGATCATTCGTTAAAAACTTAAAAATCTATATATGTAGAGATCATTTAAACACGAATTGAATATTATATGGACTAAATTAATAAAACTGATAATTTAGGGATCAAACTAATAAAATATATATACTTTAGGGACTATATTAACAAAATTAATATTATAGAGATCAAACTAATAAAATATGTAAGTTTTAGGGACCAAAAATACTATTAACACTTTAAAATAAATTATCTTCCTAAAGGAATTGAACAATTTTTGCTTTTCTAGCTTTTAAGAAATAATTCTTCGGTGTTCATTTATATCTATATCTATCTATTTATAATCTATAATTTATAATATATATAATACTAATAAAAATACATTATGATGAAAAAATTTTGAATTTCTATTTTACCCTTATAAAGAATTGCAAAGATAATTTTATCATTTCATAATTAAATATCTACATTACTATCATATCCTTTTATCTTTAAATCTCCAAATTACCTATAACATATTTTTAATTATCTATTCTCTATGTATAATTATCAATTTTTTATAAAACTTTTTGATTGACTATTTTACCCTAATAAAATATCCAAATTTTTTTTAAAACTTTATCAATCTAATATTACTCATCTCATATGTAAGTATATTTTTTTTTTCATCGAAAAATTTAACCTTTTCATTTTTAAGATAAAAAATAATTGTAGATATAATTTTTTTAAATCTATATAATGAAATAGATAGGTGTTTGGAATTTTATCTCATATATATTTTCCATCCCAAAACTATCTTAACACTCATTTCTATCACATGTTTAATTTATATAATAAATTAACTAGCAAGTTGAATATTTATCACCTATACATTTTCTCCCCAAAAAATATCACATCACCAAATTATATCAGATGTTTAATTATTTAATATTAGTTAATTTTTAATTTAACACAACTTTTATTTTATACATTATTTATATATTATAGTGTACACATGTTGAATTTTTTTTATGAAGTTATGCATTTTTAGAAAATTTTGACATTATTTTTAAGAAAATAATAGGTATAAATTAATTTTAAATTTAGTATAATGGGATCAAATTTTTGAAGGTTAGAATCTTATATTTTATCGTGCCTTCAGACATTGGTTATGACTATATAATTTATATTACATCAGTTTGATTATTTAGTTACAATAAATTTTTTAAATTGTTCTAAAATTTTATGTAAAAATAGATATTGTAGTGTATTTTTAAGTAAAACTTAATTTTTTTAGAATTTTAATATATTTGATAATATATATTATAGAGTAGTACATCAAATTTTATCCCAATTGACCTAACTAATTCTTAATTATAGTAAGGTTTCAATGTAATTAGTTTATTGACAATCACATTTTATTCAAAGAATTAGAAGTGAAATCCTAATCAAATTAATTTCAAAAAATTTAATTTCTCAAAAATCACTAAAAAATCAATTTTAATCACAAAATTCTAAAAAAAAATAGAACTTTTTTATCTTTTTTTATATAGTTAAAAGTTAGAACAAAGAATGTTAGAAACATACAAAATTTTCATAATCGTATAATAGAATGAGCAATGAAAAATTAAGTTTGATAAATCTGAAATGATATATAATTCAAATACACATATATCTAATATATTTTTTTAATTTTTGTATACAAAAATTATTCCCGTGTACATTTCAGCCTCTTACAATCTGACTAATCTTTTCACTTTGCTATTGAATATCTTCGTAGGATATTTTTGCTGCTGGAACTGACACAACATTCACAGCTCTAGAGTGGGCAATGGCAGAGCTCTTAACACACCAAGCATCCATGAAGAAATTGCAGAATGAGGTTAGAGAGGTAGCTAGAGGCAAATCTGATATAACCGAGGATGATTTAGAGAAAATGCATTATTTGAAAGCGGTGATCAAAGAAACTTTGCGATTACATCCTCCAATTCCTTTACTGGTTCCTCGAGAATCAACACAAGATGTCAAAGTGATGGAGTATGATATTGCAGCCGGCACAACTGTGATTATCAATGCTTGGGCGATCGGAAGAGACCTGTTGTCGTGGGAAGAACCCGAAGAGTTCCAGCCGGAGAGGTTCTCAAATGGTACTATAGATTATAAAGGGCAACACTTTGAGTTGATTCCATTTGGTGCTGGTCGGAGGGGTTGTCCTGGTACTCTTTTTGCCATAAGAGTTAATGAGCTTGCATTGGCAAATCTGATGCTCAATTTTGATTTTGCATTGCCTGGTGGAGCAGCATGGGAGGATATGGATATGACTGAAACCAATGGTATTTCTGTCCATAAAAAAACCCCTCTACTTCTTGTTGCAACTCCTCATTGATGCCAGTGACCTCTTATTCATTCTTAATGCCAAGAGCATATAATGTGTAGTTCTATTCTAAAGGCAGACAGAAGAGGGATCTCTATAATCTATATCCTTGCACTTGAAGTTGAAGTTGTATCTTTTTTAAGGATCAAACAAATTTATTTTTTTTTAATGTAAATATTTAGTCCTATCATTGAGTCTTTGTGTCTAATATGCACGGGTAACAATAGCATGATAATAGCACTTGGATGGTAATAGACAAACCCTTCTTCCCCGAAATACATTCTCAACACAGACTCAAACTCAAATCTCTAAATCTCGAGGGTCAAGCTCTGTCTTTTATCTACAAAAGTTTTAAATTTTAGTACCATAGATACTTATTACCCGAACTCTTTTCTTAAACCTGGCACATATTATTGCATAGTTTCTAAATAAAATGGCAAACTCAGACCATAACAAAAAAGATCAAGTATAAATATATATATTATCTCATCTTGTTAATTTTAGAAGGGAGGACAAGTTATGGGTCCAAAAGTTTTAAATTTTTTTATCAATCAAAGTAAGACACGTATAAATTTTTGATATTTTATTCTTTTATTTCATATTATTATCCATTTATCCTCATACTTAACAACTATACAAACCAATTAAAAAATTATGATCAAATCAAAAATTAGTATCAAGAGATGTTCTTTTTTTTTTGGTATTGGAATTGCGGGTATGTGGATTAATTTACATGCATCTCGAATAATTTTTTTTTTTGGTCTGATCAAAAACAGGTTATTCACTCTGAAACTAAAAGATTTATGAGGAATAAATCTTAGATGATTTGACTCCCAAAAAATTGTTAAATTTTGTCCCTATCTTCACTCACTTTGAAGTTCCATTAAAGGCCACCTGTTAATCCATCCCATTAATTTTTTTCAACGTGACTCACTGATTCAATAGTCCAAACTCATTCAAGACTTCTCATGTTTTTGGAATCCCTGTTCTCGATAATGATGAATTTCGGGCTTGAGCCATCTTTTCGAAGTTTAAAATGTCCAATGGGCCCCTAGTTACATAACAGTCTAAATAACTCATTCGCAACATGCTCATCCGATCATAAGAGTGGGCCTCAACCCAAGGAAAGGAATCTAACGACGTCCAAAACGATATGTCTGCTCGATCATATCAAGTTCGGTGGAGTAGACCAACAAGGGAACTAGGAGCTCGGTATGCAATAGTCTCAAGCCGTTTCAATTGCGCCATGTGTCCAGAGGACAAAGAGACATCTTTTGGTGCCCCTACCAAACAAACACTCCTTAGTAAAATGAATATTTGTTTGTATATCATTTTGAGAATCGTGAGCACAATATACGTCAGAGTGACAGACACTACTATAAGACAAAGGAAGAAAAGACCACATAATCAACCAAGAAAATGAAAGATTCGCAAAAAACTACATGAGCACGTGTATAAATAGAATACAAAAACACTATATACACGGGAGTTTCAACTCTTATTTTTCGTAATGTACTGTGTAAAGAAAATTCTCAGTCAAATAACTTACTGTACTATGTTTTTTTACTTTAAGCACTACAAATTTCAAAAAATAAGAATTTCTATTACAGCAGATGTAACTCTAATTAATTATTCGATTTAGATAAACTACTTACGTATTGTTCTATTATCCAACGTGTAATCACAATGATTTCTCTATTGACACAACATTCACAAAGCCCTCGTTGGACCGCACACACGGTCCTTGTTCTATCCTTTTGGTGTAGTATTTTTGAGTACCATTAACTCTAAAATCAAACCACGAACTTAACCATAGTTAAATACCACGAACAAGAAACCATAACGAAAGAGGATTGTAGGAAACGCAGGGGCTAGAAACCAAACACGTGGACGGTCAGATTTCAACACAACCGACTTTATGCAATGGTAAGTAAATATTAGGTTGGGATTGGGTTATTGTCTCCAAAACATCTCTTTCATCTTCTCTCTCTCTCTCTCTCTCTCTCTCTCTCTGTGAAACTATCGATTATGGAGACTGAACGTGTAACCGAGTTTCCCCAAAGGCATCTGGACCGGCGACCGAGAAAGAAACCACGGCTGGGCTGGGATGTTGCTCCTCAGGTCCCTAAGGTATCAAATTTGTTCTTGAATCTTCTGATTTAGTAATTTTTTTTGGCGTTTTCTTGATTTTGTGTTGCTAGATCCGGGGAAAATTAGATTCGTGTAGATCAGGTATGAAAAAACTGTTTTAATTTATTTGAGTGATGTATTCTGGGCGATTTGGACGATTTTCTTTGTTCTGATCAGATCTGTTGATTATTTATACTATTTTTAATAATTTTGATTTTGAGGATTTATGTCTGTAGAATTTTTTGGGATGTTTTTAAGTTTTGTAGCATTGTTAGTGCTTCACGAGGGTTTTGCAGTGGAATTTTTATGATGACTATTATATAGAATTTTTTATGGATCTTTGTCCATCAAAACAAAATATATCAGCCCTGTATAAGTCTTTCCTGGATTTTTTTCTTGACACGATATGCAATAATTAATAGACAATTTTCCTTTACACTAACACTCCAGTGCTTCGATTACTTGATATTTTGTATGAATTATTCAGCATCTTGATGGATAGTGTTAAGCTTGTTAATAGTCCTCAGAAAGTGAAGATTTTGACTAAGATTAATTTTTGTTTGTCCTTTTGTGTATGTATAAAAATTAGATATTGATTGAAATTGGTATTTTACTATGCTGGTTCCTTCAATATTTTAGTTCCTTTTTCTGGTTGATAATCTTTCTGATTTAGTTGCTATCTAAGTTGAGATCTTTACTGTGCTCCATGTGGTGAACATGTTCTTTGGGAATATTTTGTTTCTGATTCTTATAGTGCTGCTTATAATCTCTGAATTGTGTCTCAATCTGAAAGGGTAAGAGTTATCGGAAAGGTATAGAAATTTTTATTTATATTGTGCGAAACATGAATGAATGGCTGTGTGTAGGCCCAGCCAGGGTTGTTTTGTGGAAAAGAGGTTGGGAATGTGACAAGCTTTGGATCTTCAAGGGCAACCTCCGACCATACTAGTTCTGCTCTGTTTGTTAAGGGACTGGCACAAAATGGTTCTCCCCCATGGCGAGACGATGACAAGGATGGGCATTATATGTTTGCGGTTGGAGATAATTTAACTTCTCGCTGTAACTACCCTTTACCATCACCAAAAAACAACTTTACATGTATCACTTGTTTTTGATTATCCAACCATCAACACATTTGTAGAGTAATTTGTAATGCATATTTAACGAGGACACCATTGTTTCTTCAGCTTACTATCTTTCAAGGATATGGTGTTGTCAATCATATAACGTTTTTAAATGTGGACCATTTTTTTTTTATTGCGATCATACATTTTACTATTTAGAAGCCATAAGTTGGCACAGCTAGGATTCCTTTTTTTATTTACCCGGAAGCTGACTTTCTATGGAGAACATTGTGATTCTCTAAATTTTAAAAATAATATTAGTTGCGTCGTAGGTCTTGAAACTTATAATTTTATACCTTTGTTTGTTTCTAATTGTTATTGCCTTGGTTTTTATTGTTGCAGATAAAATTCACAGCAAAATGGGAGAAGGTATGTATGCCACTACTAAGTAGTGTTATTTCAATAGCTTAGGAAGTGTTTTATGGCATGACAATCTATATTGATGTGTACAATTGTTGTTTCCAGGAACATTTGGTCGAGTCCTAGAGTGCTGGGACAAGGAAAGGAAGGAAATGGTTGCCATCAAAATTGTTCGTGGTATTAAGAAGTACCGTGAGGCAGCTATTATTGAAGTTGAAGTGCTGCAACAGCTTGTTAAGCATGATAAAGGTGGCAATCGGTGAGTATAACTTTGTTTAATGCCATTTTATTGCCATTGTGGAAGTGTAGTGATATTTCATAAAAGGTGTCGGTGGTTAAATTGGTTTATTCCTTGCAGTTGTGTTCAAATACGGAACTGGTTTGACTATCGTAACCATATCTGTATTGTAAGTATATGAATGATTTCATGGATTAACTTCCCCAATTTCACAGAAGTTTTGGGGGTTAAGATTTGTGGATAAACCCAAATGGTTTTAACAGGTGTTTGAGAAGCTTGGCCCAAGCCTATACGATTTTCTACGGAAAAACAATTATCGCTCTTTTCCCATTGATCTTGCTCGTGAGATTGGCAGCCAACTGTTGGAATGTGTAACATGTGTGTAGTAATCACTTGCACCATTTTCCTTTTATTTATCATTTGTTTTGCCTATTTATTCATTTAAGATGACCGCATTTAGATGAAAGAAAAAACTGGAATTTTTGACAGAGGTTTCTTTGTGCATTAGACATCGAAAGTTGTGGAAGGCAGTTGCATGGAATTATGAACACTGCCTAAAGGGCTCTATTTGTAGCATTTTATTTGTTGTTAACGCTGGATTATCTTCAAATTGCAGTCATGCATGATTTGCGTCTCATACACACTGATTTGAAGCCTGAGAACATACTCCTTGTGTCTCCTGATTATGTTAAGGTTCCAGACTACAAGGTAAAGATGAAGCGAATGCATATTGTTGAGCTTACTTTCCCATAGGCTTCTCACAATGTTAATGCATGCGCCTAAATGATATGAAAAGGTTTTTTTTTGGCAACATATCTGACGTGTATTGTGGATGTGGTCTCTGATGGACTGGTCCATAAGTGTTTTCTATATTTTCTTCTGCATGTTGCTCTACTCCTAACCATGTTGCCCTTGTATCTGTTTATTGTGATAAACAGGCTTTGACATTTTTATGTTCGTATCTCTATCTTTTCAGGTTTCATCGTGCTCACCAAAGGATAGTTCTTACTTTAAGAGAGTTCCAAAATCAAGTGCCATTAAAGTAATTGATTTTGGAAGCACAACTTACAACCGTCAGGATCAAACATACATTGTATCTACAAGACATTACCGTGCACCAGAAGTTATTCTAGGTTTGTACTGCATTTGTCTATCTATGGTTGCACTTTCAGATGTAGAATGGCTCGAGGATATATTTTTATTTTATTGTCTGTTTATCTGCAGGACTTGGTTGGAGTTACCCGTGTGATATATGGAGTGTTGGTTGTATTTTGGTGGAGCTTTGCACAGTAACTATCGTGAATCTGCTGTTTCTTCTTCTGTTGGTTTTGATGTTATAAGTTATAACAACTGTTTTAATCCCAAATTATAACACTTTGAACAGGGTGAAGCATTGTTCCAAACACATGAAAATTTGGAGCACCTTGCCATGATGGAGAGGGTCTTTGGTCCACTGCCCCTGCAAATGTTGAAAAGAGTAGAGTGAGTACTGTTATATAGGATTTATTAATTAGCTTTTCCCCACTTTTAGGTGTCACTTGAATGGTCCAGGGAAAGGTTGTTGAAATCTTGATTTCTTTTGGTGTGTTTATCAGCCGGCATTCAGAGAAGTATGTTAGAAGGGGTAAATTGGACTGGCCTGAAGGTGCAACCTCTAGAGAAAGTATAAAAGCTGTTCTGAAGCTTCCTCGTCTTCAGGTTTGTATTTACCATTAAATTATTGCTGGGCTGGTCAAGTGTAATATTGGTTTGGAATGGAATGGTAATTATACCTTGCGTTGTGTATTTCGTTGCAGAACCTAATCATGCAGCATGTAGACCATTCAGCTGGGGATCTCATACATCTCTTGCAAGGGCTTCTTAGATATGACCCTTCAGAAAGGTTGACAGCACGGGAGGCCCTCAGACATCCTTTCTTCACCCGGGATCATCTCAGAAGATCTTGAGATCACGTAAACACCTGATATGTTCTAGGTCAGCTGATGCGTATTATTGCTGGGCCAGTGAAGGCTTTGATCTCACTCACCTGAGTGGTGCAAATGACCGAAGCTCTTTCAGTGCAGGGCAGTCAGTTTACTCATGGACCAGAGGAAGGTGTTTTTGGTTGGGGGATGGGGTGGATTGTAAATACTCTTATGTAGAAAAGCATCATGTCCAGTTATTAAGGTTGGATCGCCTGACCATCAAACGTCTAACAATTTCTGACCACTGATTTCGAGTCTGTACAAGGAACAAGATTCAATGATATATGAAATTCTTTTCTTTGCTTATTTTTATCTTCTCCCCTTAACCTTTTAAAAAAAAACATTGTTTTTTGATGGTTGTGGTTGATCTGAATGCTTTGAAGCAAGTCAAGGATTTGGGTAACAGGTAAAATCTCTCCAATATGACAATTCGCAAACGAGTAGCATGCTTAGCTTAAACCCAAGAAGAGGTAAGGAGAGGAGTGAAAAAGGAATCAAAGGTGGATGAAGATGATAATGATCAAATCAAATGAAAATTGTGGAGGGTCCTTCCCTCCCTAGTAGTCAGTCTGTTCTCTTGGGAGAAAGCTGGACTCTTGCTTAGTTCAAACATGGTCCCCCGAAGTCAAGGGGTTGTTGGGGCTACTTCGAGGGAGAATTACAGCGAAAAGAGTTTATGGACAAAACATGAGCATTCTGACAGCTTTGGTACTTATGATCAGTGTTCACAAGAACCAGTTCATTTTATTTGGAGATGGCCAAAGGGATTGTACATTCCAGGCTTAGTTTTCCAGCCTATCCGGCAGCTTTCTTTTTTTAGGGTTGATTGTTTGGCTTGAGCTTGCAAACAAGTTGTGGTAGAATGCGACTGTGGAGGCTTTCATTGACACACAGATTGGCAATCAAAAAGTCAATTGCAAGAGATGAGAATTTCCGTATTAGAGAATACCCAACACTACTTGGCAATCCATTGCATTTGTTATCCCTCTTCCTATATCTTCTAGTAGCTATGGTATGCATGCATTTGTGTTGTGTACTGTCAGATGGGGTTGCCCCAATAAGCGCATGCATTGGATCACGAGTGCAGAGAGGGAAATCATAGGTCCAGCTGAAAATCCTAAACATCAATCCCTCTATCAGAAACTTCTCTTTTTTGGTGCATTTGTTCTTTGTTCGAGAGATTGATGAAGACGTGTCTTGGATCTAACAGAATGATTGAAAGATCTCTCTTAGGACGCCAGTTCTTGCGAGCGAACTCCCAAACGATAGATAGACAAGGGCGGCCTCAGAGGAAATGCCCCAACAAGTAATGTCGTGATTTTTCCACCGTGTTTGACAAACATAACCCACAACACCAGTATATACAATTACCCAAAATACAAATTAACTGGAAGTTGAGGTTTTGCAGAAGAAAAAGAAAAAATGTGTTCACAAATATCAAGGTTTTACAGAAGAAAAAGAAAAAATGTGTTCACAAATATCAGAGAATACTTGAAAGAGCCTTCAGAACATCATTCATGGTGGGCCTGTGAAGAGGGTCCTCCACCACACAACCTTTGGCTAAGACTGCTAGACACACAGCATCACCAAACGGGTAATCTCCCTCCAAGACAGGGTCCATGAATCCCTTGAATTTCTCCAAGCACTCTGAAGAATCTTCAAGCCCACAATCGGCCAAAAACCCAAGAGAATTCTTCACGAAAATCCCTTCTGCAATGGCCTCTTTAGCCGATAAAAGCTCAAGTAAAACGACCCCAAATGCGTATACATCCACTTTGGTCGAAGCCTGCCCATAAGTAAGATATTCAGGTGCCAAGTACCCATTTGTTCCTACTATCCCAGCTTCATTCCAATTAGTCTCTACCTTTTCTTCATTGCAAATCAGAGGTTTCGCGGATTTAAACCCAGAAATCTTGGCTCTCCAATCCTTGGTTATAAGCACTAGTTTGCTGTTTATGTTCCGATGGACATATATTGGCTTTGTGCAGTGATGTATGTAATGAAGTCCCTCTGCAACATCAAAAGCAATCTGCAATCTTTTTGTCCATGTGAACTGCCTAGACAATTTTGAGTTTGATAAACAGTCTCTTAAGCTACCATTCTCAGCAAACTCAAACACAAGATAAGGCGTGTTTTCGTAACAGCAGCCCTCAAGCTTCACTATGTTTAGATGATTGACCTTTGTCAGAATACCGATAACATGGTGGGCTTCTTCCTTTGAATTCATCTGTTCGATTGCCATGTAAGAACCACAAATCTTACCTCGATACACTGCTGTACCAATCTCACATGCCTGGCGGAAATTTTCAGTTGCAATCCTCATCTCCTCCAAGCTGAAAGAAATCAGTGAGTGTTTCAACTTGTACATCCCATCAATAAAATCAGGGGGGAAATTTTCCAATGGCGAATTTATGATAAACAAGGGTTTAAAATTGCGACGTTGTCTCCTTTTCCTGGTGATTATTAGAACTCCACAAGTTATAGCCATTACAACAATACCCGCGACAACAACCCCTCCAAGGTACACACTGAAATTCCTGTTTTTCGAGTTTGTAACTGGCATGATTTCAATAGCAGGCCGAGAACGCGGAGGGGGAGTTCCAGGGAGAGTGGAAACATCCAAATTCAGGACAGGAACACCCATTGTGGGAATGAGTATAGTAGTCTGAGGGATTATAGTTGTATATGGGTCTAATCTATTAGCATCCCAGATCATTCTTTCAGGCACTTCAAATTTACGAGCAATCCTACCTGTATGATCTTGCTCCCTAAGTGGATATGTCACAAGGAACTTTATACCCTTTTCTGTCTCAGAAGTCTCAGGACAAGCACATCGAACAGGCACTTGAATAAGATCGTTATAGGGACTGTTTTCTTCAAAATCGGGGTTATGCACTATTAGACTTTTTGCCTTCACCAAACCTTCAAACAATTCGCAAGCAATTGTGTGCAAAGAATCTGGCTGAGAAACATTGTACAAGTAGAGGGCCTGAGAGAATCCCTTGAGGCATGAGCAAGTGACAGGGACAATGATCTCTCGACCAAGCTGCAACGTCAATGAATCATTTTTTGCCATTGGATTGTAATGGCGGAGTAAGGATTCGTCAGTATCAAATAGAGAGGATATGGAAGAGAGATTCTGATAGCCTTCTTGAGCTCTGTACACTATGAAGGTGTCACATGATAATTTTTTGGAGTTGCATAGGTAGTTGGAACCAGGGACTTGTGGTGCTGTAGTGCAGTTAGATTTGTCATAAAATTGCCGAGAAAAAATGGGTTTGATGAGAAGAATGAGAGTGTAAACACTAATGAAATTGGAGAGAGAGACCATTTTCTGATGAGATTGAAAGGTTCAGTGAGGATAAAGAAAGAGAAAGAGAAAGACATTAATGAAGAGTGTATAAAAACTACAAGCTGTCAGTTTGAAGGATCTTAGAGAGGGAAAGTGATGGGCAATAAACTGATAAAACTGCCGCCTGGCCTGCTAACCCTTTTCTGTTGATGAGTGATTACAACTGCTATGGCCAAAACAGGGTCCATGGGTGTAGTAGGGACACAGCTTTGGACACCATGCAAGGATTTTAGTGAAGAGCATTTGGGAACACTCGGGGAATAGTTTCCTTAGGTTTATGGTAACCTGTGGACTGTTTTGTAGCAAATGCTGAACTTGGGAGTTGAGTACAAAGTAGGTATTTATCTCTGTGCTGTCTTGCCATGTGAGGTGAACAATGTGCCGACAATCAAATAGTATCCAGCTGCATCACACACACACACATATACCTATACACATTTAGGGAAAGAGATATGAAAAACATTAAAGGACTTGTAATCAAATTCAAGAATTAGACCGAACAAAACCAACATTTTTTTTCGCTATATACACATCTTTTATTTTGAACATGATTCTACACCAAGAGGTGAATTTTTATTGTCACTATTCAGTGTCACTGTCTATTTTATAATACATCACTAATTATGTCATTAATAATAAATTAGTGTTTATGATTTCAATTGTCCTTTAAAACTCAAAAGAAACACTTGTTGGACTTCTGAACAAAAAAAAATTTCAAACTAGATCGACCACTAAAAACCCTTGAAAAAATTGGTCGTAGTAATCGGAGGCTACATTGGATTTCCAATCAACAGGATTTGTAGGTAATTTTACCACAAAGCCCTTTCACAATAATTTTTAGGCTTACCCATCCAAACATGAAGGGCATAATCATAAATTATTTTAAAATTAATGTCGTTTAAACATTCATTAAATTGGTATCGTGCATGGAGTCCACACTTCACCTATTGTCCACTCAAATGCAGGATTGGATGGGATAAGCCGATAAGGAGATATTGTCATCCCTCCGACTGGGTGTCATTGTACTGACTTGGATGAGATTGGCTTTAAAATCCAATCCATCATTTGTTCCCCAAACATGCCCTTAATTTTGTTTTATCACAATTACTCTTCTTATCGGGCCTAAGGGATTGATCAGGCCAGGGCCAACTAGACCCACTGGTCAACTGCCCATGGTCACTCGCAGGCCGCGCCTACATACTGTTGATTAGTTAACCCTCTGAGGGTGGCAGAAAAAGTGACCTACGGCCTTAGCGAACTTTTAGCGACTCACCCATTGGCTAGCTTGCAGGACATCAGCCATAAATATCGAAGAAAGGAATGGGGCATAGCGAGAGACTCTCGATTCGTATGCCCGTAACAACGACAATAACAAATAAACCGATTTGAGAACGTTTGGAGAGGCTCACGGGGCTAGACCCATTGCTGATCACAAACAAAAGGCTTTACTAAACTAAGAAATGTGGCCTCAGAGAAGGAGTGTCAATAAGCATGACTCGAATGACATTATTTTTGTGTATATGTTCTATTATAAATGACTTAGATCTTTTATTTGATTTTTTTGTTTTATTACAATAGACAATATAATTGTATATTAATTACGATTTTTTAAGAAAAAAATTAAATTTTTATTTTTAATTTTATTTCAATCAAAGGTAAATAGAACATGAATATTAATCGTAAAATTTAAAATATTTGAAATTTTATCTTTGATTGAAGTATTTTTGATCTAACTATAGCATTTTAAACTTAAAAAGTTTATATATTATATATCTATAAACTTCAAGGGAGTCTAAGTGTGATTTATTAATGGATATATTTACAGCAAGAGTCTAAATATTACGCGCGTACAAATTTTAAGGGGTCTGTGTGTAATATTTCAAATAACAGGGGTCTGAGTGATTAAGTGACAAAATTTAGGGGTCGAGGTGTAATTCTCACTTATTTTTTTAATTTTTTGTTTTTTTTTTGGTTCAATAGTCAAGGTGTCCAGATCAATTTATGCACACCATAATTAATCTCTTTTTTGATCAAAAATAAATCATTTATGTCGAGACTATGGTATTTTATCATAGCTTGATCCCAAAAAATTATCAAAATTTGAATTTATGATGTTTGTATTTATAACTCGTTTCTATTATCGATTGAACTATTTCTCAGATATTACGAACTAAATCACATAGAGTAAAAGCAGGAGCGCAAAAAAACGTTTTAAAAGCCTCATATTATATGTATATAATACATTCACTCATAAAATTTTAATATAAATAAAATACAAAAAAAAAATTAATTTTATGTACAACTATAAAACAAACAATTTAATTTTTAAATATATATTAATTATAAAGTTTTAAAATAATAATTATAATTTACAAATATTATTTTAGTTTGATATGTATTTTTAGGCTTGAGCCAATATTTTTTAAATAAAAATTTAAATAATAATAAGTAAGTATAGAAATAAATAAAAGTATGAATTAATTGAATTCATAAATTTTGTAAAATAACATCTGAGAATTTGCACATGACATAAATCAACGTTAGAAATTTAGAAAGATTATATCTGGAAGGTTGAGACCAAGGGGGAGGGACATCGTGCCCCCCCTAAAAAAATATTAAAATTTTTACTTTTGCATATTTATGATTTTTTATTGGGTAGTTGGAATTAGGCTCACTCTTATGACCAAAAATTAAAAATATTAAACCCACTCTAATAAGTTTGAACGAACTAAATCTTGTGCAAAACAATAATCGGACACATTTTTTACTCAAAGAAATGTGAAAATATATTATTCATAATTATTTGAAATTGCTATAATTTTTTTAAATTAATACAAATTTAGCCTAAAATTGATTACTATTAACCTAATTAAGAGAAAAATATTTTCGATAACATTATTAATAATATTATCAGTTGTCAGGGTCTATTGTACATGATTGTAATTAGTCTCATTTTTTGTAAATGGTTATAATTAGCTTTTTTTTTATTGAGTATTGTTTGCATAGTTTACGTGATGTTTGACCATTTTGTATTTAATAGAGAAAATTTTAATCACACCCCTTCTAATTTATTATATCTCCAAGGATATCCCCTCTAATTTTTGAATCTTCAATGACACCCCTTCTAATTTAATTTAAACATCACTAACACCCCTATCATTAAACTACCATTTCGAACAAAAATAATTTATCTAGAATACCAACAATGCCCCTACATAACCCCAAAAAAATTTTCTATATAAAATTTTATTAAAATTTGAGTTGTTAAAATTTTTAAAAAAAATTGTAAATAACAATTTTTGTAAATAATTTGTTAGTAAATACTAATTTTTTATTTACTAATTCGTAAATTTTTTTAAAAAAATCAAGCCTATTAAAATTTATTTTTTAGATATTAAAATTTGAACTGATTTGAACTCTATCCGAATTGTTAGTACCGAGTAAAATTTTCTTTTGAGTCGATTGAAATTTATATTTTTTTACTTATTAAAATTCGTGTCAATTACAATTCAATTTATTAAAAATTGAGCTAGTAAAAATTCAACGCGAATTGATTAAAATTTGATTTGAGTCGATTAAAAATAATTTTTAATTGACTCAAACAAAATTTTAATTGACACAAATTTTAATATGTAAAAAAAAAAATTTTAATTTACTTGAATCGAATTTTAATCTGTTCAAATTTAATTACATAAAAAAAATTAGAAAACAGAGGGGGTCTCATTGAAAATATACTTATTTAGAGGAGATTTCATTGAAGATATGTTTATCTAGAAAGGGTGTGAATGACGTTTTTTCTCCAATATATCATAGGCAATTTAGTAAAATTACATCTACTTAATATTTTTAATCTGACAAGGGTGTCATTGAAGATTCAGAAACTAAGGGAAGTGTTCTTGAAGATATGATAAATTTGAGGGTAGTGTGGTTAAAATTTTTCCAAAAAAAATTAAATTTTACTTATTAGCTATGCCCACCTAAGAATACTTTTTTGACTCCGCGCCTGTATGGGACAATAGTTTGGTCAAACTGAAATTGGTCCGCCGCCCACGACTGCACTCTTCATCTTAGCCCCACTAAACACCCGATGAAACCAGTGGTTCTCATGCATCCTGTTTTAGTATAAGGGTTTGTGGTAAGGAAAAGAAATGATTTTCTGGGATGTTAAAGGAGTTGGAGAAAATCCAACACTTTTGAAGGGTAGATTTTCCACCGCTCTTTTCCTTCTCCTTTCGCGCGTTATTGATTAGCTTTTTCTCATTTTCGTTTTCCACCTACTGTTAATCAACCTCTGCTCCTTTTTTTTTGCTATATCCATTGACACCCACCTCTCTCTCTCGACCGCCAGAGTCCGCAATTCAAGGACTCCTGTCTCTCTCTCTTCTGACACACACACACACACACACAGAGTTTTTCTGACACAGTTTTTATCATTTTCGTTTTCCACCCACTGTTAATCAACCTCTGCCTCCTTTTTTTTGCTATATCCATTGACACCCACCTCTCTCTCTCGACCGCCAGAGTCCGCAATTCAAGGACTCCTGTCTCTCTCTCTTCTGACACACACACACACACAGAGTTTCTGGTCTGTTCATCATCAGCTAGCCGGTTCTCACTCAACTTTCCGGCTATGGACGCTGCAACAATTACCACGAAAGCTTCATCTTCCTCTTTCGTCTACAAATCCCCTAACCCGAGCCCCAAAAACTCAAACCCTAGACCAACCACACCCTCCCTTTCCGCTTTTTCCTTCTGCAGGCCTCTCAAATGCATACAAACACCAAACCCAGATCATAATTCCCTGTCTTTTGCCAAACCCAAATCCCGGAACCTTAATTCAGTCCTCTCATGCTTAGCGGTTACTTCTTTTCCGCCACCCACCTCTGATCTTCCGAAAACGAAGCTCCAAACCCTCGTCACAGAATTCCAAAATCTCTCGGAACCCATCGACCGCGTGAAGAGATTTTTACACTACGCATCACTTCTTCCTCCATTCGATGAATCATTGAAAGTCACTGAAAACCGAGTCATGGGTTGTACGGCTCAAGTTTGGCTACATGTGAAAATGGATAATGAGGGAAAGATGAGGTTTGTAGCATATAGCGATTCGGAGATTACAAAAGGGTTTTGTGCTTGTTTGATTGGGATGCTTGATGGGTCGGCGCCGGAGGAAGTGTTGGGATTGAGCACGGACGATTTGGGGGTTTTGAATGTTGTGGGGTTGCATGGGAAGGTGAATTCTAGAGTGAATACTTGGCATAATGTGTTGATTAGTATGCAGAAAAAAACTAAGGCTTTGGTGGCAGAAAAAGAGGGGAAGCTACCCGGTGAGCCGTTTCCGTCGTTGGTCGTCACTGCTGATGGGATACATGCCAAAGGAAGCTATGCTCAAGCTCAGGTGGGTAATTGTTACTGATATTTTTTTCAATTCTATGTTCGTTATTTTTGCCAAGTGATGGCTGGTGCTTGATTTATTTGGATATTGTTCCAATTGTTTTGCGGATATGAGATTCAAGATGTATTTAAAATAAAGTCTTGGTATATGCTTGTATGCTTTGGCGTCAGCAGAATGTCCAAGTTATTACTGGTTAGAGTGTACTGAAAATTGAGAGTATATTGTATATTTTGTGCACTGTAGAAATATTCTGAATTTGGGGAAGAAAGATGAAATAATTTCAAGAGAGATGAGATGTGGATCTTGGGGACTAACGAGCTTGTAGATTTTTGTTTCTCTATAGCATAATTTAATCATTTATTCAGAAGTATGTCTGTTGAATCAGGATCTCCGTTGACAGTTGTAATTGTTGGCGTTTAGTTGCATTTTTATTGAGTAGTTTGAAGGCACAATAAGTGGCATTTTTTTTAGGTGGCCACGTAAAATTTTATTTTTAAGTCCTAAATTCTATTGTACTTGAATTGCAGGCAAGGTTTTTGTTCCCCGATGAGTTAAAGGTTGAAGAGCTTGCCAATCTACTAAAGGAGAGGAAAATTGGCGTTGTTGCACATTTTTACATGGACCCTGAGGTCCAAGGGGTTTTAACTGCTGCACAGAAGCTGTGGCCTCACATACACATATCTGATTCATTGGTTATGGCAGATTCAGCTGTTAAGATGGCACAAGCAGGATGCCAGTTCATCACTGTTTTAGGTGTAGATTTTATGTCAGAAAATGTGCGTGCAATCCTTGATCAGGCTGGACTTACAGAGGTAAACACCCACTGCCACCTTTATATTCCTTCTTTTTTTTTTTTTTTGGGTTCGCAATTTGTGCATATTGTTAATCACACAAGTCTGGCCATTCAAATCCATGTTCAAGCGAATAAATTGGATACCATTTCAGACCGACAAAAATATTCCTAGAGCCTATTCATTGTCATAATTTACAGAAATGATATGCTCACAAAACTCTGTTACCTTTAGATTAAATTAAATTCATGCAAATTTGATGTTCTGCTTAAATATGCATGTTCATACTAATTGGGAACGTTGTTTCCTGTCTTTGACCATCCATGTCAGAAACCAGGACCTTTCTGTTTTTGGCAATCAACAAGGGAGTTAAGAGGATGTGCACTCTGTGTTCAGCCAGACTGTCTTTGCTATATCATGATACTTCATTACTTCTAACACCGTTTGCAGCTTATCTATCAATGCTTATGCTGTTCTAGATGACCTTCTTGCAAAAAAAAAAAAAAAAACAAAAGAGACCAATCCTCCTAATGCCCATTTTCTTGGACTGAGTGGATTTTGGTGTAAAATGCTTCTCCTTTGTAGCTTATACGCCTTTGACGGTTGTTTAAATTTCTAAACTGTGTAGTTAATTGTCTTGTAGCTCTCAAACAGATAAAATGAGTTCATAGAACAAAGTAGTTTTTTGGAGTATCCTTGTGTACAAAAGAACAGAATGTAGCACTGTCCTCTTTGGTCGACTGAATGTCGTCACTCACTACTACAAGGCATATGTTATGGCTAAATACCATTGTAGGTCATGATAAAATTACAGAATTCTACTCCCCTGCTCTTCCTAAAACAAAATCAGAACAAGTTTGTTTAATCTCATGGAGAATATTTGTGCTTCACATTTGCCTATGACACTGATTACTACATGGTCTTTACTTTTAATTGAATAAGGTCCTATATCACAGTGGATGGACATCATAAGCTTGGTACTTTACAGAGGACCTCGATTTCTGAAGATCCATTGTGTAGGATATTAGGATGCTAAGAGCAAGCTGAGGAGGAATACCATTCAATTAATGTTCCATCTTTTGTTTCAAGCATTTCTGAATTGATTGTGGTTGGTCCTACATAAGGGTGTAACCATTCCTAGTTTTTGTTGCTGGTCATATCTTTATTCCCAGGTTGGCGTGTACAGGATGTCCAACGAACGCATTGGTTGCTCTTTGGCTGATGCTGCATCTAGTCCTGCATATATTGATTATCTGGAGGCCGCTTCTATGTCTTCTCCCTCTTTGCATGTTGTTTACATAAATACTTCACTAGAGACGAAGGCTTATGCTCATGAACTTGTTCCGACAATAACCTGTACTTCTTCTAATGTTGTGCAAACTATTCTGCAGGTTGGTGATCATCAAATTTTATTTTCCATCATCTAATGCTTGTTCTATTTGTGGCTTTAGTATGTTAGATGGCATTTAGTGCCCACGTAGGTTGGCGTGCCTTTTCCTGTTATACTGATGCAAGAAGCCACATGTTTTTTTCCCCAGGCATTTGCTGAAGTACCTCACTTAAATGTATGGTATGGCCCTGATACCTACATGGGTGCAAACATAATGGAGTTGTTCCAACAGATGACTGTGATGACCGACAAAGAAATTGCTGAGATACATCCAGGACATAATAGAAACTCAATTAGATCATTGCTGCCTCATCTGCACTATTATCAGGTGATTTTAGTTTTTGACACTTCGAGAACAAGATAGTGTGCTTGCATGACATAAAAAAACGTTAACTTTCCTTGTGGTGGCCTCCATTATGTGTTTGTCCTAAACTTGGGTTAGTAATGTAATCGATCGTCAACATTAAATCACTCAGAATTCAAATTTGTTTGCTGTTTTTCTCCTTCAGGATGGAACATGCATTGTACATCACCTCTTTGGGCACGAAGTTGTGGGGAAGATTAATGAAATGTATTGCGATGCATTCCTAACTGCTCATTTTGAGGTCCCTGGTGAAATGTTCTCTCTAGCAATGGAAGCAAAGAGAAGGGGAATGGGGGTAGTGGGTTCCACCCAAAACATATTAGATTTCATTAAACAGAGAGTACAGGAGGCTTTGGATAGAAGGGTCGATGACCATCTTCAGTTTGTGTTGGGAACAGAATCAGGAATGGTGACTTCAATTGTTGCTGCAGTTCGCCAATTGTTAGGTTCTGTGAAGTCCTCCTCTGATGGCGCAAAAGTTAGTGTTGAGATTGTCTTTCCGGTCTCAACAGACTCAGTGACAAGAACATCAAGGAGTTCGTCCCTTGGCTTTAGTTTGGATGAAGTTGGAGACTTCATGAAAGTCCCTGTTATACCTGGCGTTGCAAGTGGGGAAGGATGTTCAATTCATGGCGGATGTGCATCATGTCCATACATGAAGGTCAGGATATTCTTTACTGCAATGCAATATCTTCATTGTCTTTTTAGTTTCTACTATGATGATATCGCTCTGCCTTAGATATCACCAGCTTTTATGGTTTGTAAAATTGATTACTAATATTTGCAAATGTGGTATCTTAAGACTAATAGCCTTCCCAGGCTTGCACAAGTTATAGTTATAACCAAGAATGTGATTTATCACCGATCTACATTCCCCAGAGGGTACAATTTTGTTTCCCTAAAGTTTGAAAAAGGGCATGGCCATGGGAATGGCTCATGCCTAGATTTAGTGAAAATCCTGGTGAGACGGGTTTGGATGGGCATGCTAGCCAGATTAGGTGGAATCCATTTTTAACTTTTTGGGAATTCAGTTGTAAACATATTTCGCTTCAGTAGGGCCCAAGTTTTATGTAACTGGAACCTGACCAAACATGACTAATTGCTACCTCCTTTGGTTTGTTTCCCCAACTGAAATTGCTGTAGACAAATGGCAGCCTTTTACTCTCCCGAGTTGTATTTCTTTTCAAAATTCAAAGCCTGAAAGTGTGGCTTCTAAATTGTGCCTCCTTCATTGTGCAGATGAATTCTCTTAGCTCACTCCTAAAAGTTTCCCACCACCTGCCCAACGATAAGGACGACCTAATTGCCTATGAAGCTGGCCGTTTCAGTTTGCGAACTCCAAATGGGAACCTAATTGCAGATGTTGGTTGTGAGCCAATTTTGCATATGAGACACTTTCAGGTTAGCTTCCTTGAATCTTCCTCCTATTAACATCAATCATTTGTGGGTTTTTTTGATCTGGAATGTTGTGACTACTGTTGCAGGCAACGAAACGACTACCACAGAAGCTTGTCAATCAAATCCTTCATCCTTCCTGCAATGGACAATCAATCCCACTCAGTTAACAAAGATCAGAGCTCATATAGAAAGTGAATATGTTGCTGCTATTCCAGTGTTAGCAACTCCCTTATGAATGTGAGATTCTGCTGTCTGACAAAATTTTAGTTACACGAAGCTTTACATGTACAAAGTTTTTGTTTTGTGCACACTCCCAAGTCTCCATACGTTTTGTTTGATTGTTTACCAAGTAGTTTCTTTTTCCTTTTTTTTTTTCTTGTTTTAGTTCATTGGTTGTGTTTTACCAAATAGTTGAATGATAGATTATTAGAAGAATGAGGTCACCAATTTGTTTATCACTGAATTGTTGTCATTGAAATATTGATTTTTACCTACCCTTGCATGTAGTTTAGTAGTTGGGTCTGGATTCTGAAATTTGGTAAGATTTCAAGTTCAATTCTTTTTTACACCTATTTAAGGATTAACCACTCTTGTTCTTTACTAATTTAGTTCAAGTGGCTCGAGAAAGTAGTTGGCGTAAACTTAGGCATCCTGTAACAAAGCAAAAACAGAAAATACTGATTTTCACCCTTCATCTTTCATCAGGCTATGTAGAAAAGGGTAACATAATTGGACCCTGGACTTTGCTTTTTGTTTCAATTTGGTCCTTGAATTTCAATTGTTATAATTTAGTCTCTCAATTATGAATTTCGTCTCAATTAAATCTTTTTGTCTATTTTTACTGTCAGATCAAATAAAGACTAGTCCGATCTGATCAAATCCTTTCGTCTATTTTTACTGTAAGGTCATATGTTCCCATTTAATTGAGACGAAATTGATAGTTGAGAGACTAAATTAAGACAATTAAAAATTCAGAGAGTAAATTAAAACCGAAGTCAAAGTATGGGGACAAATTATTAAATTTATCCTCTAAAAAAGGATTTTACTGCAAACAATGCACCCTATAATGGAATGTTCTGGATATCAGTACTTTTTTTGGTTGGATGAACAGAAAGCAAACAAAATAAGCTGGGGGTAAGAGTAGCCAGATTGTGTTCCTTCTTGGGCGATGCAGTCATCAGTAATCAGAGATAGTTGTGGGGGAATTGTGTTCTTTGGCCAAAATTACAGGTTGTGTGGCCTTACATTAGGCTTGTAAACAGATTGGATTTTATTTTAAATTCAATTAGCTGGATTCGAATCGTTTTTACTCAATAATCTAAACTGACTCCCTTTATAATATTTTGCAATTTTGGATTCAAGTTTGTCTATATCTGTTTCTGAAATGATCCGATCCAAATTTGTATTAGGATAAAATTGATTATTTGATGGAACTTAGATGAAATTTGATGATGCACAAAATTGGATTTATGCACCACCCGTCTAGTAAATAATATAGGTAATAAATGCAATAAATATGAAGATGAGATCCACACAAATATAGAGTAGTTCGGTCAAGGTGATCTACTCCACTTTAAAGGCGACAACGGTGGCCGAAGGACTTTATTGATGTGCTCCTCTCAATTTATAGGCACAAAGTTTTGGTTAAGGCGGTGGCGTGATAGGTAAGTTACTAGTTTTTCGGAGAGAATAGATACAATTAGAGATAATCTTAATTTAAGATAGTGATTATTTCGGTAATTACTCCTCATATGCGATAATCTACCTAATTCTCTTGAACTTTAGACCGGGCCGAATTCATGAACTGAACTTAACCTACGTTTTAACTTATTTGGGCTTACTTATGAATTGGGCTTGCCCAGATGGATTTGGGCTCATCAAAATTTTAATGTGATTTATTAAATATTTTCTTTTTAATATTGGATCAAGATTTGGATTAAATTATTGATTTATAGCAGAGTCGGATATAGACTAAGCAAATAAAAATCATGGGATCGAAGTCTCAAATCAAATTGATTGGCAAGTCTATTCAAGTTTGTCTATATATTTTTTAAGTGTATCCTATAGCTTTTTAAGGACATAACCAAATGAGATTGATTAATCATTGTGTTCTAAAGTAGTGTGAAAGAAATATGTTTTTCATACTATAAGATACTCTGAATTTGGACAAATTACTAACCTTATTAGGGTGAGACCATTTGGACAAATTACTAACCTTATTAGGGTGAGACCATCGTACACTCCACGCATATAAAGAGGCCAATGATCTTGATGTTGTGTGATTGAAATATTCATATTGTCATTACGATCATTGTTGGTCAAGCTTTTGTTGTCATAAATAAATCCAAATACAAATGCTCACCCACTAATGATTAGCAAGTAGACTTGGTCCCTCGAGGCTTTTGGAGTGAAAAATTCCTACCTTGTGCCCCATGACTTGATTGTACTGTAATTAACCCAAATACGATATGTGCAACACATTTAATGAACACCATGTCCAAGTTGACATGAGCCACTACCAACAGTTTTACTACCCTTTTTTGTTTTTTTGATCAGTCAGTTTTACTGCCTGAGTAGTCGTATTTGGGTTTACATGGCTGACATAACACAATCAACACCACTGACTAACACAGTTATTTAATCTTTTTAATTCATAATAGGTAAGCATTTTCTCCTCTTTATCATCCCTCTACCTAGCAGGGATGATGATATATATCACACTGTAGTGTTATATGAGTCAGACATTCATATTCTTTTCAATGCCTCTTCAAAAATTCAATGGATGTTTTAAACTTAAGGAGAAGTTAAAACTAAAACTATTAAAGTTATTAAGATTTCTATGCCTTTTACGAAGTGTATTCAAAGACTCCATGACCTTTACTTCAATGTGGATACTCTACTCTAAACGTTGGCATAGCTGATTTGATTTCTTGGTTTTATTTTTGGCTATTAACTATCTGTTGTTGGGTAATCAATATAGAATATAATCAACTTGACTCATAAGTGGACACTAAATAACATTTCTAGCACAATCTTAATTAATGGCAAAAGAGTCGAGAAATTTGTCCGCAAACACAAATTTAGTACAAGTGGTTGATAATTTTCGGTAGTCTTTAAAAAAGAATGTTGTTGATTCCTAAAGCTGCACCACAGGAGTGAGGGATGATCTGGCAATCGGCGGGAGGAAGTTGAAAACCGGATGGGCTTCGTTAGTCGATTCTCCGATAATTAAGTCAGAATCAGAATAACAAAGAATTGTATGTAGCTGGAGAAGATAGACTTACTTTGTTCGTGGCTAGCATGACTCCTTGGAGGTAGGTGAAATGTGCGGATGGAGGTCCTCCAGCTATTTTTTGAATAAGGCGGCATAAAGAATAGAACATCCCTCAACGTCTTCTAACAAAGGCGTCGCAACTAGTTTGAGCTAGTCGATACACGGTTAATTGAATATTGGGCGAGCGAGCAACTAGGTCACTGCTGGAGCACTCTAATTAAGTGGCAGAGGTCGCATGCCAAGCTCGAGCACACGTGCCTAATTCATCCTCATCAAATGTTAAAACTTTATTAATTAAATTTTTTCACGTGCAATGGCAACAAGTGTATATCAACTAGTAAAATTATAGGATTAATAGTAATTTTAGTTCTAAAATATATATTTTTTATCAATTTAATTCTAATTGTATCAATTTGATCTCTAAAATACTTAATTTGTGTTATTTTGATTCTTAAATAGACGGATCATTATGTTTTTGACAGAATAATCATGTGTTAACCACATGATACTGTTTAAAAAAATGACACGTGGTCACTTTAGTCAAAAAAAAATTGATAAATTATCTTATTAGGGATCAAAATAACACAAATTGAATATTTTTAGAGACCAAATTGATAAAATTGATACAACGAAAACTAATTTGACAACATATACATATTTTAAATACCAAAAATACCATTAACCCAATCAGATATTAATAACATATTCCACTAAATTTTATAATAATTAATAACTCGCATCCAATAACTTCAGGATTAATGTTGTATTATTTCTTTGTTTATGAGCAATGCTATTCAGACCTAATTTATCTAATTTATTTGATTTTTGAATTGATTATGGGGCCCATTAAATATTAAAATTTTGTGTTAATTCAATAATTCTGCTGAAATCATATTATTATATCAACAAATTAAGTCAAACTTTTAATTTCAAATAGAATTACCTTTTGTTTATTATTAGTCACCTTCTCGAAAAGAACTATGACTCTATACACATGCAATAACACCAGAGAATGTCCAAAATCCAAATGTGAGAGAGAGTAATGTTACAATGGTTAAATTTTAGGATCAAATTTAGAATTTAAATGATATGTCAGTTAATTATTTAAAATTTTTATTGTAGTTCAAATAACATAATATCAATCAAATCAAAGAAATTCAAGTCAACCGTTATATCATTTAAACTCCAAATTTAATCCTAAAATTGAATCAATCCAGCTGGCCGGCTAAATCCTCCACCCGTCTCTCCATCTGACCTTAGCAATGCACCTATAGAATAATAGAATATTTCAACCCCTTTGTGTTCTCAGCCAACAGCTACCTTTCCCAACACAAATCTCTCTCTCTCTCTCTCTCTCTCTCTCTCTCTCTCTCTCTGTGCCTGTGGGTGTAACCGTGTAAGTCATGGAGAGGAGATTCAGCAGAAACTTATCAAACGAAAGCAGAGAATCCGTCAACCTCCAAAAGAAGATAGCAGAAACCCGGAGACCCAACAGGCCGGAGAGTGCACCGGACCTCACTGATTTTATGAATGACATGTTCTTCGGGACAGTGAACTCCGACAAGAAAGCGTATAACCTGACAGGTGGATTAATTGATGATGATGACTACGATGAAAGAGAAGATTTTGAGTCTAGTAGGAGGAGTGTGAGCAGTAGATTAACTGACGAGTGGCTAGAGGAAGCCAAGCGCATGGTGGCTTTGTCTCCTTCCCGGTGTGTTTCCCCTTCTCGGCTGACCGGGTCGCCTCGGTTCGCAGCATCTCCGGCCAGACTATCTGTGTCGAGTTATGATTCTGTCTCTAGGTCTGCTAGAAGGTAATACTGTGATTCTTTTATAGATATGGTCGATAGCGGTGTCCATGGTACCAGCAAATTTTTTTTCGGGGTCTGGGTTGGATAGTGTATACTCAACCTTTTATTCAGGTGAATTGTTGGGTGGGTCGGACCGGACTTTGGGTGGAGATAAGTAACCCCTAATTCAACCTGTAATAGAATGAACACATCACAGTTAAGTTGACACTTATTTTCTTATCTATCATTTGTATTATTTTATCATTTAAAACTTGTATGTTTAATACATTATTTATCGCATTTAAATTTTTAAAACTTCAAATTTCGACATTAAAAAACTTATTTCAAAGTTTCAAATTTAATTGTTTAAAAATATAATTTTTTTTCAAACGAAAGGTGGGCGAGCCATTGAACCTGGTTTTAATGGGTTTTTCAGGCGGATAATAGGTTTGAGGACAAACTCAAACCTTTTTTTAAAAAATATTAGTTTTGGGCTTCAACAAGCCAACTATTAACCCTATCGATTTTAGGCTTATTTTTTTCCGACAGGCTAACGGGACTTATGAGTAACTCAATCCATGAACATCCTTAGATATGAATAAGGGTGGTAATTTTTAATACTAACACGAAAACACGGTTCAAAAGTAATACGAAATTAACTGGTTAGAGTTGATCATTTCTCAACACGGATCTATATATAACATAACTTGTTAACACAAATAATAAATGAGTTTGATTAGTGTCAAACACGAAATGACACGATTAACACAATTAAACACTATTATAAAAATAAAATGTTAATTTTTTATTATATTTTATCAAGTAGCGATCTCATTGGATATTTTTATATATTTTTATTATTTTATTTATAAAGTAATTTTTAGTTTATAGAAAAAAATATGAGTATACATTCACCAGTTTTTTATTCACATGTTATATGGGTTAATATGAATATAACACAATACGATTAATTAAATAAATTAAATTAAAATTGATTAATATTCGACCCGAACTTAAACTATCACTACCCAACACGACCCGATTGTTAACCCAGATATAAACACAGAGATCATCTGGTTTAAGCAAAAACTCTTGACATTGTTCTCTTAAACTGAACAGACACAGGGCTGTTGAAAGCTTCAGTGGGGAAATCCTTTCAAAGACAGCTAAACACACCCGCAATAATTCTGGACCCCTTGACCCACCTCCCCCGGCTGAAATATCCCCTGCATCGGCAGTCCATCAATGGTTCTCCGACATCCTCAAACCCCTCAATCCCACACCTCCACCTCACTCTTCCGCCCCCACCAACCCCCACGCCAACGACCATCCCACCACAACCTCAAATCACACGGCTCCAACACCGCCACATCCACCATTAACGCACCGCAAGTCCAGGTTCCAAAAGAACACCAACGCAACTCAGCCACAGACAATCCCACCCCACCCTCCCTCTAAACGAACTTTCAAAACCACCAGAACAGACACCCAAGTTCTCTCTCCTCCAAAGCATCTCATCTCGACGGCTCACAAGAGATCGGTGTCGTCGTCGACAAGCTTTGTTCCGGACAGTCAAATCCTGTCGCCGCCGAGGAACTTGGTCGAGTCAGCTCACCGGAGGTCGGTATCGTCGTCGACGTGTTACACTGATCGGATTTTGCAGAAGCCTGCTCTGAACGAACAGTTGAGGGAGGAAGACGACATTGGTCGAGACCTTAATGGGTTTTTGACAGAACAAAGAGCAAAAATTGGGAAGATTGTGAGTGGTGAAATCAATGGGAAGGCAAACATTGTATTCGCAGCAAAATCAAACAGTTGGGTTTTGATCTATTTTCAATTCTATTCATTTGATCTTGATTTTGGGGATTATTGAGTTAAATTTATTTATTGTTGAAAATTAGGTTTTGTATTGTCATCCTAATTCATTTGATTTTGATTTTTGGTGATTACTGAGTTATATATATTCATTGTCGAAATTTAGGTACTAGTTCGATGGTGGCTGCGATATGCTACGCGTGGTTGCTGGAGAATATGATGAATAACAATGAGGGAGGTGAGGAAGATGGGAATGTGGTGGTTGTGGTGCCTGTGATGAATATGAGGAGAGAAAAAATGTGGAAGCAGCGACAGGCGGCCCGGCTTTTTCACCACATTGGTGTTGATGCTACCGCGTTGCTCTTTTCTGAAGAGGTACTTAATTTAGTTTAATTTCTATGCATGTGCTTTTGTGCTTAATTGTTCAAAAGGTAGATTGATACTTAGAATTAGCAATTATGGTGATTTTTGAATTGGCAAAATTTGAATTCTGTATGTTCATTGCTGCTCAACTATTTGAGTTTATGTATCAATGAAACTTGTGATAGTGATCATCCTATTAGTAGCAAATCTCTTGAACAGGATGTTGCCAGTGAGTATTCGATGTAGATGTGGATTGCAGATGTAGATCAGGATTGAAAAATGGGACAGCAAGGAAAACTAAGAATAAATGGAAAAGGCTATCAAATCAATCAGTGGTTTTGACTGGTCAAAACAGCATTTCTCAGTGATGGGTTGCTGAAAAATAATGCACAAACCACACGACACCTCAATATCATAGCATGATTAATAATAACTGTTGAATATTGTTTTTTTAAAACAAACATTCGAGTTTGAGCTGGCGATAGTCATTGTGTTCAATGATGGAGTTTCTGCTTCAACATTAAGTTTTTTTGTGCTTAGTCAATGTGCATTCACTGAGATAGTTTCATATAATGTAAGTTTTAGGAATAGCAGGCAGGATTTATGTACCATGGAATGTTCTTGAACAGAAACCCGAGAGCCTTCCATCCTATTTTCTTCTATATATTCAAACTTCTTGTCGCATATATATTAGTTGTGAAAAAGTCTCTGACTTTGTTGCTGCAATTTGGGATCAGGTAGATATGGAAACACTAATGATGTCTAAGAAGTTGAGCATCCTTGTTGTTGGGCAAGATATCCTCAAAACCAATGGCGAGGTTGGCATAATTTAACTTTGTAGTTTGAGATAGAAGTCTGTGAATGTGTGCTTTCTTTTCCCATGCATGACCAGATACATGAAATTATTTTCTGCATTCTTTTACATGCCTTCCATTGCATCTAGGTTGCATCTGCGTGCACCATTCTCACAGACAATTACTGTGAACATGCCTATGACCTACTTCAGACCCCTGTCCTGAGAAAACTTCTGGTAAATGATTTTTACCTATTGTCATATTCTGTTTATTTATTTTCTTTGTTCACATTCCGACCATTAACAAAAAAGAAATATTTTCTGAAAATAATTGGCTGCTTTTGGTTTCCAGTATTCACCTGTCATTGGTTTTCAGCTGGCAGGTATTCTATTAGACACACAAAATCTGGACATATCCGCTAAGTTGTCTAAGACTAAAGATACAGAGGCAGTTCAGTTGCTATCTGTTGGCTCTGTTCCCGGTTATAGAAATGCTCTTTATGATCAATGTATGCTTTTCTCCTTCGCTTAACTATCAATGAAAGGGTTCAAATTTTATTCATTAAACATTCAATGAAGCATCCAGATTTTTCTTCTTACAGTAATGCAGGATCAGAGAGATTGTAATTTCTTTGAAGCTTTGCGGCACAACTATGGAAAGCCTCCTAATGAGGGTAAGCTTGTCTAGAATAGAATTTTAATGAGTTTTGTTCTTCTTGAACTCTGTAATGAGCATTGGCACCCAAACCCTGTAGTTAATTTCCAATGCATTTTGAGCCTACGACAGTATGATTAGCCAGGTAAATGTATGCACCATAGTGGGATGATGATGCTTTTTTTCTCTTAGTTTTTCATTCCCTAACGGTACTCTTTAATAATGCTGAAAGAAATCTTGCAAACCAATCCAAATAACTGGACTAATCACAATTGAGTTGACAGTTCTTCTGGTCTCTAGAAGTGCCAGCGACAATCTGCTTTTCGATTTCTTTATGGTAGCCACTGAAGCATCGGGCAATCACATTGCAGATTGTTCAGATGGACAAAATTATTGAAGAATTTTTAGTAACCTCTTTATACTTAATCATGTCTCCACTACAGGATCTTATCCACACCAAAATGTTACTATCAGAACATGGAATCCTCATTTGTTCCAGCTAGAAACATTTATCTGCTTTGTAAAAAAATTTCCATTTACATATATAGACAATGCATTTTCAACCTTTTTTTTTTGTGATTATAGGTACCCGAGATGGTGGAGCACCAGTGGCACACAGAGTATCAGAGAGAAACCATGAACCAGTGATACGAAGTTCAGACAAAGGCTCCAATGATGTTAAAAATGTGAGGGCTAGTACCCCGTCACCAAACTCAGGTAACATGTCATATTTGAACTACTTTTACCATTATTGTCAGTCGCACACTCAGCAATGAAGAACATTTACATGGCCAAATATCATCATGCAAGCAGGTTATCATTTGTTTTTAGCTAACTTTTAGTTGCTTGGAATTTTGCATCTTAATTGGTTAGCCAGACATGAGAATTATCTGTATAAACAAAAAGGTCATGTCCAAGTGCACAATATTCCTGCCCTATCCATGGATATGGTAGAGATAAAGGGTTGACAAGTTTATTCCTTTTCTGAAGAGGTTTGATACCCGGACTCAAACCCGTGACGTATCACTTGGGCATCAAATTATCTGTCACTATAGCAAACAAATATTGTATAGATCGTCTTCGAGTGTCTGTTTAAATAAAGCATTCCTGAGAATGATTTTTAACAATATTATTTGTTACTGTAATACAAAACAGATTGTGAAGGCAAGATATGGTATGGCTTCAGCAAAAATGCTGCCTCCAAAATAGGCCTCTTAAAATTTGGAGCATGATCAAGAACCTTATATAAATTTCTCATATATTTGTATTGAATGGAATTTGAAGTGACATCACACTTCATCCAATTCCTCATATATTTTCAGTGTTTACAAGTAAATCAGAAATCATCGATGTTCTATTTTTCAATCGTATGATGAGATTTATAGTAACTCATCATATATACTTGATGCAAGAACCACTAGGCTGATTCTAACACCAATTTTATGCAGCAACTAAACCTAAATCACTTCCAACTCAATCTCCGGCTGCAGCTCCAGCCCAGGCAGCTGATGCCTCTCGTGGAAAGAATAAGTTCTCCTTGGCAAAGTGGTTTGGCTTTGGAAAATGATGATATATATGCACATGATCTGGGATGGTAAATTTTGAAGAAAACATATACCGTGAAGGTAATAAATCCTTTCCTGGATTATTAGTGATGTATTTTAAATGGTAAGCCAAGTTGTATGTCTCACCCTCCTTTCTTCATCTTCAATGATTTATGGACGGTTTGAAAGGGACAGTCATGGTTTGTAATCTTATTCTATTATTGATTTTTGTATCAAGAAATAATGTTGAGAGCTGAGTTAGCCATCCATAGTACTGCTGTTTATATAAAGGATTATAGAATAAAACAAATAAAAAAAATTGTTGTGGCTGCTATTGAAAAGGGTTTAATTTTATGTGTCAACAAAAGGCGGCTCTTCCATAACACATCAGTTCTACCATATAAGGTGGTAATTCACGAGTTCCTCAGAATGGTCTGCTCTGGTGTATTTCATTTGATTTAGCATTTCATTATGTATTGGAGCACAGCTAAACAGATATAAAGAACCATTCTCTCTCATCATCTTAGAGCCTCAAAATGAATTTGGCCTTAACCAAATTTTTTTTTCTGAGATCCTGAGTCAATTTAGTGTAATACGAAAAGAAATCATCGTCATGGAAGCAACATCTTGAACTTTCTAGCTAATTGAGTTTTGCAGTCGGGGGGGAATGCAAACTGGGTCTAGTGGCAGAGTTGCAAATTAGATAGAGAATGAGAAAATAGGACATTTCCATTTTTGAGGACATAACAATTTCTTTTAATTTGTTATTCCATCCTCATCAAGTCCATGATTACTTGCACTCACATACATCACTATCTGTTAGCCAGGTACAGACATTCAGTAAACGATGAAATACTGTCAACACTTCTTTTATATAGAAATGAGAAAACAGACATCACAGATGTATGCTCACTTATCAAGATCAGATCGAGAGAGAGAGAGAGAGAGCGAGATGCCTCTAGATGGGGAATTATTGGGGCATGGATGTGAGCCAATCTGTCCTGTCCAATTATACCCACTTGTTCAAATCAAACCCAGCTGTAACTAACTTCCATCCTCTCTTTAGGTCCCACCTCCTCCCATGTGCTCTCTGTCAGCACTCTCCATCCTCACCACACTCCATATTGGCCCATGATCATGAGCCTCCTTTCCTTTTCCAGCTATGTTTTGTCCCTGATGACAATATGGTCATTGGGCTCACGTGACTATCTCATTCCACCTTCCAAGCATATAGAAACAGGCAAAACTCAGATGACCCACTTGAATTAAACCCTTCTGCTGAGCTAGAACTCCCTGTCTGTGATGACAATGGTGTCGACGACAATGGCGGCGATGACAAATTTGATACTGATGAAGGAGATATGGATAGCAAAGTTGGCTTGAAAATAAACAATGCATGCCTTAAACCAGGACTAAAAAGCCAATCATGAACATCCCAATACACTTCTACTCTTACTTTGTTGACATGAACACATTCATTACCTCTAAATTTCCACTGTAAATGCTTGACATGAATGACCAATTGCCCATCAATCCTTATCTCCATTTCTGGATCAGCCCCGCGTAAAGAATCGCCATTACTGAGATTTCCACCATTGTTAATCCTGTTCTTGCACTCAATTGAGATCTCATGGAATCTACCTTTCTCATGGAACTTAACTCTTGTCGAATATTTCTTCTTACCAAATATGTGTTCCCTTCTAGAGACCAAAAGGGGATCAATAAGAGCAGGTCTACATCTTGTCTTTCTATATGCATCTTTCTTCAAGTCTCCAAGGAGCAATACAACCTCTTCATCACTAACAACTGCAACATAGTACTCTGAACTCGGCTCGGTTTCGCCATTGAATTTTGCAGCCTTAAGGTCCCAAAAAATATCAACAGGCTTATCATCCACTATAAACCTCTTTGACCCTTGTTTCCTCCAGAAGTACCATGGCTTCAGCTCAACTTTACATATATACTGGCTTTCGCCATCCGGCCCTTCTACCGATACAGATAGGCCATGGAGTAACAAGTTCTTGCACCATGTGACGGTGATTAAACGACACCGATCAGCAATTTTAGTCCGGTAAACGGACATGAACACACTTTGCCCTGACCTGGTTACTGCAGCAGGGTCATCAGTCAACTTCTCCCCTGATGAGAAGCAAGCAGGAATGCCAATTTGGTCTTGCATCATAATTTTTGAACACTGAATTGGTTTGTGAAATTTGGGGCAAAGCCCAAATCAGAAGTGGTAGTAGTCAAGAAGATGTGGATGATTTAATGAACTTTGGAGAGAATATTAACATAGAACAGGAGGGAGACAACTTAGTTGCAAAATGTTAAGAGCCATAGATGTCGCCAGTGGTGTTCTTGGCAGCATTAAAGCAGTATAGAGATTAAATATGTATCCAAACTGGCACATAGATGGCAGATGGGTGAGACTGATTGGGGATCTACCCTTTTATATTGAGTTATCTGCAACCTTGCCTGGGTTATCTTACCTGTCATCTTTTATTGTACTATTACAGCTTTTTATGTTTATTTTAGGAAAAATTACACTTTCAACTGCTCAACTATGACCCAGGTCATCAACGGATCTTTGGTTCAATGATACCTCTTATCTTGTAAAAATTTTGTCTGCTTGAAATTAAGGTTTTAAATCCCCTTGGCAATAAAAGTGTGGTTGGTAAACGAATCGTATCCAAATTTTTGGTGTGGGTTTGAATCTCCACCGAAACGCAAGTCTTGATTTAACTATTATATGGATTGAGGGATTAATTCATGCATCTAAGGTTTGTCCTAGATTCTATTTAGACTCACAAGCTTAAGTGACATAAACATGCCTCTACTCGTCCGGATAGGCCAAGGATTTCTCTCTTTTGCTAAAAAAAAACTATGACCATGGTCTCATTTTGTCTGCCCCCCACCCCAATGTATTAAGTTTCTTGCATTGCACCTCAACCACTTGAAGGGGTTTTCACGGTACCCACAAATTAAATTCAATCATGTTTTCGACAGTATACATCCACACATGTAAAATATACGTTTTCAATGTTTAAAATTTGGAACAAGATAAGACCAATAACTATAGCTGAAGTTGCAATGTGAGAAATGTGATAATTTACAAAGGTTGCAAGAAATCAATAACAAAGGTTTTAGGTACAACGAGATAGTTGAAGGGACATACAAGGTAATCGTTTCCAATGTTTAAAAATTGGAACAAGGTAAAATCAATAACTATAGTTGAATGTGCAATGTGAGAAGCACGACAATTTACAAAGGTAATAGGAAATCAATAACAAAAGTTGTAGATACAACGTGAGAAACGTGATAGTTGAAGTGGCTGGCAAGGTAAGATAAGGCATCGAGAGGGTCAAAGTGCAATTTAGACTTCAATATTGTTTTAAAGAAGACAAATTTTTTGAATCCAAGGTAGGTTTGATCCTGTTACAGTTTAAAATACGTATTTCCATGCATGGGTAAAAAGCAGACAAGTCTTCTTCACCAGAGTTGGAGTAGCGTATAGGTTTATGCGTATATACTGAGACTGAGAGTCATTGGAAGCATCATAGCACATGATGTGGGGGTTGAAAATGACCATTCAAACTAAACATTATGGTGATGTAGAGTTGGTCTTCCAATGTGAGTCATCAATTCTTCTCTCTCTCTCTCTATTGTTCTATAGTTTTCATCATATGCATGTGAGGATTTAGCCTTTATATCCTTTTCATTTTAATTGGAAAATGAGAGTATGGCTATAAAGCGAACTCGTACCATCAAGGTTAATTTTATTTTTTTGGAAAAAGAAAATAAGACTGATAGGCCTAAGTCTGACGGTCCGTGAACTAGACTATTAGGGTGGTGTTTAGATGTAACAATTGGATAAAATTTTTTGGATAATGATGTAATGAAATTTTACCCAAGTACGAAAATTGCGTTCTCTTACTTCCGTTTATGAGAACGTATTATACTTTGGATCACGTACACAGAACTTTTATCATTGCGTTTCGGTCGTGGACAGAGGGTTTTGCAATACCATGCATAACTCAGATAACCAAGTACCAACCTTTTAGCTCTGTACTTTAAAGGAGAGAGACCGCACACGTACAAAAGGAAATAAAGTATCTCATCAGCTGTACAAATTTCAAGAACACACAAGATTTTGACTACAATTATCATTTTTTTTTTCTTTTTTTTACTACAAGTGTTTAGATTTGTGCCGATTACACCAATCTATTTCATTGAAATCAGTTTTTCCAAGCTCGGGTAAGATTACTTATTATTCACTGATTAATCTATAGTGTATTAAGTGGTCAATATGTAGATAAGGTTTGTTTCTTCACTTTTCTTAAGCAATACAATCAATTCTTAATATGGCAATGGTTTGTTCAATATGATGGGCAAAAAGCACAAAGTGAGTCAAAGCAGAATGGTCCCCCTAAGCATATACAGTTAGTACTCAGCAGCAGAGTTGAATAGTCTCAGAAGCATAATGGAGTAAAAGAGCTAAAGGAAAAGAACAAGAAAGGATATGATGACCTAGGTTTCAAACTATCTTACTGACAAGTTATTTTTCGATATAAACTATTAATAATCTGATTAAAGAAGAGAGGTCCGTGTAAATTGGTGTGATTGATTGACATTTGAGAATCTGTTGGTTGAATTGCTTGATATCAAAAGTCGTGTAGAGAAGATAATATTTTTTAGCGGAAAAATTTTTTTTGAGATAAATATTTTATCATTGAATTAAAGTAAAAATAAAAATTAGATTAATCTTAATTGTTGTTATATTTTTACAAATTGATAATTTAATTTTCTAGTTGTAATATTAGAAACTATAAATAATTTTGTGCTTGAAGACACTCTGCAATACCAAAAATCAAGCATTGATCATGTAATATTTTATATATTAAATAAAAATTATTTTTTTTATTTTTAAAGTTATTTAATTAAAAATTAAAATAAGCATAGAAAAAATAAAGTAGTGGTAGGGGAAATAGAAGAGAGAGTAGTGAATTAATGGGTTGTTTGGCATTAAAGAGTGCGTTGGTTTAATTGTTTAACATTGGAAACAATATACAGAAGATGATTTTTTTATCAGAAAAAAAAAAAATTTTGGGACGAATTTTGTACCATTAAACTAAAATAAATGAAAATCATATCAATTTAAATCATTATTATGCTTTTGTAAGTTACAAATTTAATTTATTAATTGTAATATTATATATTTAAATATATATTATATTACAATTAATATCATAATATTATAATTTGAAAGTTGTAATTATAGAACCAGTTCAAAAAAAGTTTTAATTATACAACTGGAGAATAATTATTGCACATTGAATGTTTCTTGGAATGGGCCACAGTTGTCCAGTCGGTTGGACAATAATATAAACATAACTTTGTTAAGTAAATACGATATTACTACAAAATTTTATTGTATTAATTCAACTTTAATGGTTATGAATCTATTTTTGGATCATACTTAATAAACAATGAATAACATAACTTCAATAAATTTATCCGACGGTCTCAAATAAATTCACCCAATGGTCATTCACATTGAATTTTTTTTTCTTCAAATCTATCACTTCTCATTTATGTTGTACCGTGCCTTCGAGCACAGATTGCTCATAGTCTATATTAATAAAATGTATCAGCCAAAGCACTATATATCACATGACAGGCTTGAATAATACAAAAAGATAAGTCAATCAACATAGGCTTTCAAATTCAAAAAGAAGCCGTTACACATAGATGAACAATGTTATTAGAATTTAATTTATTGATCTAATTCACTCTAACTTTTGAATTGATTGTAGGCCCCATCAAACATTGGAACTTAGTGTTGATCAAATAGCTTCTGTAAAATCACATCAATAAATTATATCAAAATTTTAAATTAAACGACTATAGTTATTGACAAAGGGATCGAGACTAACTAGCATAACTTTTGGAAATCAGAAGGGAACAGTTAACAAAAGCAAATGATGGAGGTAAAAACTGTTGGATGATAAGTATAACTGTCTATGGAAAGTGCTTATAAAATGGAACATCAATTACAATGAGAGGACACGATCAAACGCATCTTAGTCTCATGATTTGGGTATTTTAGGAGTAGTGCTTAGTTTAATTTAGAATAAAAGTTAGTATTGCAGTTAAGGCCGATTGATTTATCAGTCTCTTGCAATCGATATTACAGTTCAAATTAATAGAAGTGTTCTCCTTTGTTAATCCCTGTGATTTTTCTTCTTGCTCTTAAGTCTGTCAATTAATTTCACCCAAAGAAATCTTGAAAAAAAGACATTTAAATCTCATTCAAGCAATCATATGAAAAGACTCGATCAAATTTATCAATCTCGAGAGATTTTAGACTAGCAGAATCATAACAGAACTGATTGATCAGACCTATTTAATTAATGGATCAACTAATCCCGACATGCCTCCAATTCATTATAAATAGATTGAATATAGATTAAATAAATTTGGACACAATTCACCTTATAAACTATACAAATCAAAAATTGTTGTTACTCGTTGACATCTTAAAGATAACTCTTTGTCATGGATCCAATTATGATCAAATAAATTTTTTTTAACCAATGGGATATGATCTAAGATTGGAGAACTAGAGAGGATTATTTGGTCTAGGGAGCAATTACAGTTCTATCCCCTTGATAATGTATTAGAGTAGTGTGAAAGATGGATATATTTGTATGTGTGGTATTTTTTTTTTTCATCAAAACTATTCAAATTAGAATTAATTTATTAGTTAACTATTTTCCATTTTTTCGAACTTTATTAGTTAATTATTCTCCATTTATTATTTAACAACTGAAAATTCAAAAGGAAAAGAAATAAAAAAGAAAAATTACAAGGATGGGATATGAGTTAATCATAAGGGTAGTTTCGTCCACAGAAATTCTGAGCTTAAACCTCCGTCGCGTCCCAGGTCGGAGTAGGGTTTTGGTTTTCGTTGTTGAAGTAGAAGAAGATCGTCGTTTCTCGATACGCATAGTCCCGACCATCCCCCATTGGTCTCTCTCTCTCTCTCTCTATATATATATATATATATATATATATGTACTAATTTTCAGATCATTTTGTAAATGTAGATTTGATTTAGTGAAATGCAATCCCTTTGCGGGAGGGTTCGATTGGTTACCAGGCACACAGTCGACAGCTCAAAGTATGTTGATTTTAAACCAACTAGAGCAAGTCCGATAGTCATTGATCGTGGATTGAGCTCTTTGGAATTGAATTCATTCGTTCTTAATGGAGTGGCAGTTGCTAACAACTTCTATGGGTATTCGGTGAATTATTTCATGGGATATTCATTGCAGTTGCCCCCCAAGTTCGCTTCTTGCTCGGTATTGGATTTTCTATGCTTTTGAGTTATTAATAAGTCTTTGTTTTTGGTTTTGGGCATGTTTGCAAGTTGTGTGTAGTTTGATGGGATATTTTAATGGTTTTCAGATTATGCTTTGGTTTACTTGGTTCGTGAATATTGAGCATTCATCCTATATAAAAAAAAAAGGCGTTGCTATAGGCAATCGTAAGCCCAAGAAGATAAGTGAAAATGTAATTTATATACAGAATGAGGTGTCTGGATATATCAAAATATGTCCCTCTCTTGACGTTTATGATTGAATGAGAAGGTTCAATCAAGGGTTACAATGTTGCAGAAGAGAGAGGTAGAAGTGATGGAAGGAAGGGTAAATTAATGTATTATGATGATTTTGTAGTACGATTAGGATTTTCAAGGCTTGGATCATAATATCAAACGGTTCTTAGAGCCGAGAAAGAGGTGAATGTCACTGTGAAGAGTTTTCATTGAGGCTAGAATGCTTTTCATGTGTGCATTCTAGTATTCATTTGTATAAATCTATGGATATACATGTTGTTTAGTTTGTAAAATTAAATCCGTGAACTTGTGAATTTATTTCAGCACCCAAAGATTTGTACGAAAACAGACTTGTTGGGATTATCTATGAATAATAGGGTTGCTTCAGTAGCACTGTTTCATGGAGTTCCTAGGCCTTGTGTGTTTCAATTCTCTACAAGGTTACCAACTTGTCCTAGTAGGTGCATCACAACAACTGGTTATTCAGTGGAATCCATTTCTCAAGATACTTCCTCTTCCATGTCTGATGTAGTGCCACGCCTCAAATTTAAGAGGCTTGACAAAACAGCAAGGCACATAATGCAGGCATGTAATTGTTTTCTCCATTTTTTCTTTAATCTTTTCTGCTGATCTTAATAAACGAGTTTTATTTTTTGGCTGCATCAGGACTCAATAAATTTATATGTTGCAGATTCTTGATAAGGAAGCAGTGGAGGAAGTAAGGGTAAAAAGAGAGATACCTGATATAAGGCCTGGTTATATCATCCAGCTCAAAGTGGTAATAGTACTTCATATTGAGATATATGTTTCTTCTTTTTCTTGTCATTGTCATCGTCTTTAAAATTGTAATTATTATTTGGTTAAGAGGATGTTGGGACCCTGGTAAGCCAGGTTCATTAATTTGTCCTGTTTTAATCATGATATCACAGGAAGTTCCTGAGAACAAGAGACGTGTTTCAATATTAAAAGGCATTGTTATAGCAAGACGCAATGCGGGTCTCAATACTACATTAAGATTAAGAAGACTAGTTGCCGAAGTTGGGGTTGAATCTCTCTTTCCTTTGTAAGTAAACACGGATATATTTTCCGATTTATGTTGCATTGTACTTCTATGCTGCAACACCCCTTCTTTCCTTCAACGAAAAGAATTATAAGCTGGTTGGCATGGAGGCAATGATGTCATAGTTTGTTCACTCTTGGCAGACTTACCTTAAGTTTGATTGGATATATGGGTAAAGAACCTTTACTTGCATGTTACTCTGAAACTCAAAGAGTACGTATAAAAGCATAAAGCATATCAGAGAGCCTATGAATTCCTTCCACAAATGTTGAAAATGCATGTTCCATGTTCATACTGGGACACTTCTGTTTTTATGCAGTTGGACTAGCGAGCTGGCTCAGGTGGGTGCTTTGTGTAACATAGAAGTCTTGTATTGCTGCTTCTGTCTGAAATTTTTTGTTTGGTCTGGGCTCTTTGCTCTTGGAAAAACATACTCAGTTATTCTGCCCTAGTCAAGGGAAACTGTCTGTATCACCAGCATGGTAACCAACCCTACCTAACTCAGCGGCATCAATGGTTCATGGCATGTCCCTCCCTCACCAACACTGGCCACCTGAGACTTTTGTATGAATTGATACAGATATTGATGGATCATCATCATAAGTTGTTTCGTAATTGGATAGGTCATTGGGATGAATTTGGGTTGCTTCTGACCCGTTTCTATGTTACTGCACTTGTACAATTGGATTGACCATCAAAAGTTTGTTACAAATTCCTGTTCTTTTGAATTACTTCTCCCCGGGTTTACTGTCTTCCAGAATTCGAAGGATGCTTGGTAACCTCCTTAGACATGTCTATTGCTTTTGATTGATTGGGTGAAACAGATAAAGTTCGTAAAGTGGTCACAGATAAACGCCAACATATATACGATTAAGTGCCCAAAAGGAAGTTTGACACTGCCCTGATGATGAATGTGCTTTATGCGGTGTCACTTATCTTATTGTACGAGTACTTTCTGGGTTATGTTTATCACATGTTCTTGCTTTCTGTTTTCACTAAAAGTTTCTCTTGGTATTGGCTAAACGAGTGGCTGATGACAGGTACTCGCCTAATATCAAGGAGATAAAGGTGCTGGACAAGAAGAAAGTGAGGAGGGCCAAGCTTTACTATCTCAGGGATTAAATGAATGCACTCAAGAAACATTGACAACAACATGAAGCTACTGGAGTTGGAAAGTTGTGTTCTTGGGGAAAGATGGTGGGGTTGGATCTTGTTGGACAAAGGATCGTCCACTAGATAACCACACAAAACACCAAATATGACCATAGTATTGTCAGCAAGTTTGTATGTGGTATGATAATCCGATATGAAATTGGCATAAAATTAGTGAGTTAGAGCTAATTAATTTTTAACATGCACTAAAAAATGATGACTCACCAACGGGTCTTAATGTAAATGAGTTGGATTAGTGTCAAACATCAATAAATTTATGTTAATTCGATGAACTTGTTTAATTGCTTTTATTAGAAAACTATCTGATTATTTTTTTTTTCATTTTTTAATCAGGTATGCATGAATGTTGGAAAAGCTAGAGAAAGTTGTAGTTTATAGGAGGTGGCTAGTTTGGTTGTGAGATAAAGGAATCAACTTCATGGTTGTCCATGTCAACTCGATTTTATATAATTAATTAAATGAGTTGAATTATAATTAATTAGTATTGAATAACATTTTGACACGCGCTATTTGTATCACGTAATTGATGTATTCATAGAAAAAAAACTTTTTTTTTGCAAAAATATGATTTTTGACCGAGTAAAATGAAGGAATACAATTTGTATAGTACATCACAATAATTCAGTTGAATATACTTCCGGTCCAAAAAGAAAAAAAAATAGAAAAAGACCACAATGTGACAATGTCTATTAATTTTTTTTAACTTAAAATGTGTAGTAAAAAGCACATTTTATCTAAAAAATATGAACTTAAACTAAGGATTGTGATCGATAAAATACGTTAACAAGACACGAACTTAATATGAAGTTAACAGGTTAAAATTGATTAATTCTTGACAATCAACTAACATGAAAAATAAATGAATCGGGTTAGCATAAAAAATAAATAACATGAAATTAGCAGAATTAACACGTTTAATTAATATTTTATAAATAAAATAAAAAATTTCTATTATTTTTTCAGAGAATGGATATGAATTTTTGTAAGTTAATACTTTTTTACTTCTTTTTTTTAATAATTTAGTGGATTTTGTCGAGTATTTTGTCATGTGTCAAGTTATCTTGTAGAGTACCTTATCTCGGGATATACTGATTTATACACTGATAAAAGATATATGGATTCTCAAGATGGGAGGTGTGATTTTCAAAATGTATCAAATTAGGGATGTCAGTAGACCGAAGCGGGGACAGGAGTTTAGTCTCCATCCCTATACCTGTTTAAAAAACCTTCGTCCATCCCCAGTCCACCTCTATTAACGGGTATAATTTTCATCTTCATCTCTGTCCGTGGGTAAATTTCTAATTTCCGCCCCCGTCCCCACTTTTTCCGTACTCGCCCAAGCCCAAGCCCAAGCTCAAGTTTAAACTAATATAATCTAAAATTCTAAATAAATTTAATGTTGTAAATAATCTAACAACATTCTAAATAATCTAATATAATCTAACACAATATAATATAATATAATATTTCAACATAACACAAACAACAAATGTTCAAAATATTACTTGAAAAAAAATAAGCTAAAACAACAAAGAAAACATACAACTCGAGAATCTATATATTTTCAGTTTATTTTCACTATTACACCAAGTGATCTTGAACACAAACAAATTCTTACAAAATCTTAACATTAGGATCGGTTTAACAGAAACAAAAAAAATAAATAAATCACAATTCAAAGAACATGATCTACATTTAGCAGCAATCTATAACATATGAATCACATCAAAAAATAGACTGACATAGCAAAAGAAAAAAAATTGAATATATCAATAGAAAATACATCTATTAAAAAAGAAAAATCATATCCAACAGATTCGAGTACAATTACAAAAGAAACTTGCATCCGAGGAATTGCTAATAAGTTCACGTAGAAAGATTTCCTTGTTACTATAGAAAGTGTTAATGATTAAATTCAACAACTGGTTGATCGCAGCCTAGAAAGCAAAGGCAAGTACTTGATTGATTTGTTGAGATTAAACCATAACATGACAAAACAGGCGGCCTCAGGGCTTAAAGAGGAGTGCAGCAATTGAGGTTAGAGGAAGAGAAGAGTTAGGGCCTTATGCCTTTAACTGGTTTAGGAGTTATATATATATATATATATATATATATATGGGTATAATCGGAGGCGGAAGTAACGGTAAGTTTATTCTCGTCTTTATTTTTATATGAATTTATATATGTATTTCGTATACGTCTACCATTCAATATGTATAATTTATCTTTGGTTCAAAAAGAACAAGTTTAGACGAATATTTATTTATTTTTTATTCACTGTCATCCGTATATCAAATATAGAGGCCCCTACATTACATGTGTCACTCTATGAAGTGATAGCATAGAGATTCCATGCTATCACTATTCCGCTCTACCTTCGTCCTCATTCCAGTTATCTCTGGAAGTAGAAATGGATAGAACAACCCATTTGAGGTCCTCTTTTGTCTTGCCGCTGATAAAAACAGTCTCACCTCTCTCCTCTGCCCCTCAACCACCAATCTCCTCTCGTCTCTCACTCCCAACAACCTCATCATCATCTCTCTCTCTCTCTAGAATCCACCATTCCACTCCTCCCTTGAGCCAAACCCCCATGGCAATTTCGGCAGCCACAACCACAGCTTCTTCAAAGCTCATATGTCCATGCTCTCCCTCCACTAATCCCTCCCTACCACTCTCAAACCCCATTTTTTGTACAAATCTCACCAGGGTAATACTCTCGTCTTCCTTTATCAACAACGCTTCTAGCATTTGCTTGCATAAGCACCTCTCCACTACCACCCTCCACAATCACCGCCGTGCCTTCACCGTTCGCGCCGCCCGTGGAAAATTCGAGCGCAAAAAACCCCATGTCAATATTGGGACTATCGGCCATGTAGACCACGGCAAGACCACTCTCACTGCAGCTCTTACCATGGCCTTGGCTTCCTTGGGCGGCTCCGCCCCCAAGAAATACGACGAAATTGATGCCGCCCCAGAGGAAAGAGCCCGTGGAATCACCATTAACACCGCCACCGTAGAGTACGAGACCGAGAACCGCCACTACGCCCACGTGGATTGCCCGGGACACGCCGACTATGTCAAGAACATGATTACCGGAGCTGCCCAGATGGATGGTGCGATTCTTGTTGTTTCTGGGGCGGATGGTCCAATGCCACAAACCAAAGAGCACATTCTACTAGCCAAACAGGTGGGTGTTCCCAATATGGTCGTGTTTTTGAACAAACAAGATCAAGTTGATGACGAAGAGTTGCTACAATTGGTCGAATTGGAGGTGAGAGAACTTCTTTCTTCTTATGAATTTCCTGGCGATGATATTCCGATTATTTCTGGTTCTGCACTTTTAGCTTTGGAGGCTTTAATGAGTAATCCAAGTATTAAGCGTGGTGATAACCAATGGGTTGATAAAATTTATGAGCTTATGGATGCTGTTGATAGTTATATTCCGATACCGCAAAGACAGACAGAGTTGCCGTTTTTGCTAGCTATAGAAGATGTGTTTTCGATTACGGGTCGTGGGACTGTGGCCACAGGGAGGGTTGAGAGAGGGACAATTAAGGTTGGGGATACAGTTGATATTGTGGGGTTGAAGGATACTAGGAGCACTACTGTGACTGGAGTGGAAATGTTTCAGAAGATTCTAGATGAGGCGATGGCTGGGGATAATGTTGGGTTGTTGTTGAGAGGTATTCAGAAGGTAGATATTCAGAGAGGGATGGTGTTGGCAAAGCCGGGGACAATTACCCCACATACAAAGTTTGAGGCAATTGTGTATGTGTTGAAGAAGGAAGAGGGTGGGAGGCACTCACCATTTTTCGCAGGGTATAGACCTCAGTTTTACATGAGAACTACTGATGTGACTGGAAAGGTGACTTCTATCATGAATGATAAGGATGAAGAGTCAAAGATGGTTATGCCTGGTGACCGTGTGAAGATGGTGGTTGAGCTTATAATGCCAGTGGCTTGTGAGCAGGGGATGAGGTTTGCTATTAGAGAAGGTGGGAAGACTGTTGGAGCTGGTGTTATTCAGTCTATCATTGAATGATGATCAAACTTGTGCTTCTTCATATGCTTTTCGCTTTTGGATGGTCCAAAGTCCATATCCTTGGGGTTATGAAATCAATTGTACCTTTTTTCCGCAACATCCTGTATCCCCTATGTGATATTTTCAACATTTTTGGTTGCTTCTTCTATGTCCTACTGTCTAGTTGAAGAACATACTCGTGGTGATTGAATGCTAGTTACTTTTTCTCTATTGCTTCGCCTGTTGTTGAGCTACTTATGGCCCATTTATCATAGCTTTTGCTACTTGAAGATGTGCTAACATTTTATTTGGTTCATTATGTGACTTTGTTATACTTATCGATTACCATTTGTTGTGCACTTTATTGAGCATCTCAATGCAGATGCACTTAGTGACTCCATTTGGTTCAATTTTTACCTTGAAATGTTTTGAAGAGATGGACTTTGGGATATTCAGTTATTATGTCCATGTAACTGGAATTGATGACTGAATGTGCCAAATTCGCTAGCAAAATTTGAAGTTTAGTTAGAATTATGAGCTTTTTCTTAGAGATAAATTGATACTCTCAAGATAAAGAACGTCTCAATTATACCTCATACCAATTGTTGATGGTTTTTAGATTTTCACTGTTTTAAGGTCAAGATTGATGTTTATAGTTTTGTCTAGCTGCAGAACTTATTGAGTTGCATATGTAAACACAGGTACATGTTTTTATACTGCAACATCACTATTGAACTCATTGGTCTAATAAACTACAGCTGCACTGTTGGTGACATAATAGTAATGTTGTTAATGTCAGGTCAGTCAGTACAGTGGCTTAACTAGGGAAACAAACGGACATGACCATGAGTAGAATTGACTAACCTGGGAGAAAACATACTCTTTTTTGTATGATATCATTGTATCACAATGCAAGCAATTGGGGTTGCGGTAGTGTCCAAGTTATTTATTGGTTTGTGTTGCTGTAAAATGATGTTCTGTGTGATATGATATGAAGACATGATAGTGATCTCTCAGATTTCTTTCCAGTGTCCTTTATGTTAGTTGCTCTGTGTTGCTCAGTGGACGGGATGCTGGGGTTGAAAGAATCTGTTGGAGATTGTAAAATATGTAGAGATGTGGATAGAAAGATGACGATCTTGCTAGTTATGGAGTTTGAGAGAATCTATCTTGTAATAATACTTAGTAGCTTTGGTGCTTTCTGAACCTGCATGATACACTCTCCTCTTTGGCCAATTTTAGTGTTCTTGCCCATCTGATGTTGTACTTCCCGTACATTGTAATGGTCTCAAGACTCTTAAGATAATCGTCAAGCATACAATCTCAGTGTCATGCAAGGGAGGAAGAGGTTCCTGATCAGATGAGGAAAGACTTGGTCTTCAGCTGCTATTATTTCATCCATCACAAGCAATGACCCAATCTGGTATTTGTGAACAAAATTTTGTCCTTGATTGTTCGTTGTCCTTGAACTCGCGATTTGAATGCACATAATTATCTATAAAGCTTCGTGTTTCTGTTAAACCTGGATTTATACTGTTTAGGGGATTTAAACCCAGGACATTCGGGTTTACGCCCTTCATGGGTTTGTGATTGCCACACTGCTACACCCATGGCCCTTTGAGTCATGAAAACCCAAAAAAGTCATGCAAATACTCAGGTTTTCTCTACTGGTCTAGAACATATCTAAGAACCAAAAACACCCTTCCTCTGGGATAATCCCATCATTAATTGACAAGAACAGTAATGCAAGCTTTAAATTGAAAAAGCCTTCTGCAGGCTCCTTATGGTCAACTGCATAAAATTCTTCCCCTTTTCGGTCATCATTCTTGTGGATTTAAGACAATGTTATTCTATATCAAGTCCAAATGCAAGAGTTTGCACTAGGCAAATACAATTGGAATTGTGCCATCATGTATCAAGTTGTGTACAAATTGTTACAGTAAATATACACTACTTTTGATTTCAAGGACATTCATTGGTCGTTTTTAAGAGTAATTTTCTGAAAACTAAGTATTGAAGAGATCCTAAAATCATGCACCACTTGTAAACCCCCGTGTCCGATGACCAGCATCATTGGTGATTTTCAAGTTAAACAACACTTTTCAATGGGTTGGATCTGTTGCATTCTACCAATTGATGCAGGAAATCCTAGAATATGGTTGATAGGATTAACTCCTGAAGGCATGCTGCGTGCTGCCTCCTCGCATCGTAATCTTGTTCTTGTTCATCAGACATGGATGGTTTAGTGCTGCACGAGAAAAGAAAAATTAGCCATCCTTACTACTGAGGTCATGAAGCATACCACCTCATATATCATTCTCAATGGCATTGCTGAATGGAACATGCAAGTAATTTCTGGCAGAGGTAAAAAAAAAAAAAAAAACTTTCCACACTTTCATACTTTATCAGTGGAACAGTAATAAAAGGTCCAAATTATAGCATGCATATGATGATATTGGTAATTGTTACACGCTCATTCTCTGCTAGAGAGTGGTATGTGCTCTTTAGCTAATGAATTGGAAACGGAAAGCACTCTCTATTATGTCCACGCACAAAAAATAAAGTGTACAGGAGGCGCAACTTATAGCAAGATAGAACAAGTAGATTGATGCTCTCAGCTCATGCATAGGATAGATCAGTATTCTTCAATATGCCACACGATATGTAGGCCGATGACAAGTAATATTGAAGTTGAAATGGTGGAGACAAAATTAAGTTGACCTGGTAGTTTGGCAAACTCCAAAATGACGATTGAGAGAAAAGAGAGCACATGATTATGAAGCGCTGGAACACAAGTAAAACAAAATGGAGTGGTTGAAAATTCCAATGTGAAGAGATGACCACCCAAGCATCGAAAGGTAAATCCATCAACAAAACATACTTAGCTTTCTATTTTCTGAATAACTGAAGAATAGCTAGCCTGAATACATATAGGTGACATAATTCAGGGTGAAAATGGAAGATTCGTCAGGATCACCATGTCGGGGCTATAAGAAGATCAGCAAAATATCAGTCCTGTGACTAGATAAGATTATGACTACAACCCACTTGACTTCTTAACCCAGGATTTGGTTCACAACTATGATGAGCAGAGCTTAAGAAGCCAACGCAGCACAAACAACTAAGGGATTGAAACAGCAGTCAATTACATTTCTTGATTTGCTTCGTTTTTCTTTGAAGAGGAAAGAAAGAAGACTTTTGCATAAGCCAGAAAGAAGACTTAAAATAAATAAGCATTTACTACACAAATGTTAGTGATCATCATATATACAGTAAGTGATACTTTATCCATAACCAAAAATGAACCTCAACCAGTGGCCACCACAACGTCATGTGCTAAATTCTGGACTGCTGACTAAATATCTTTTGAGGCTAGTAAGGTTGACATGAAATGCTTTCCTGCTGAATAATATCCAAAAACTAGGGACTACAGGTTTTTTTCTGTTTGTCAGGCCATACTTTATCCAAGACAGAAAAAAAGGCCACAGTTTAATTTCTCCTCCTCATATGAAGAAATTTTAAATTTTGCCTCCCATTTTTATTTCCACCTTGAAACAGTATGTGTTGTTAACTCTTAGTATCCTTGTCCTTTCCTATGATGGTAGCTTGGTTATGAGTTTTTCACCAATTCTTGAACTCCATGTACTGTCAACAAGAGGCATACACATGCTCACTGACAGTAAGTTAAAATTTCTTTGTGTGCATCACAATGAGCACATCGTGGGATCACACATTGAATACCAAAGCGAAGAGTTAGGATAACTATCACCTGCAAGGCTCAATGTGGAAAATATAGTATAGCAAAATAAAATTCAATGGGTTGTGAGAGAAACATCTAAGGATTTCTTTGTCACCCACACAGGAAATCAGTAAATTAACCCCACTTGAACATAAGCACCACGGATAATATCCAAAAACTACAGGAGTGAGAGAAACATCTAAGTAATTTTGAAACCCATTCTTCTCACAGATTCTCAAATTAAAACATAAGTACTAACAAAGAAATCAACAAAACAAAATAAAAAAAAAGTAGGTCAAGAACACCATATAAATTGGACAGCAGAGAAGTGCTTGGGTGACTGAACTCTTGCAGTCCAGAATTCCAATGCCATTTTCTTCCTCAGTTTTGCAAGAAAATTGTCTGTTTCTATTCCTGGGAAAAAAGAAAGGAAAAGAAAAGTGGGCAACGGATGTGAAAGCGGAATTATTGATTTGTTTTTAAAAATTAAAGTAAATCAGTAAATAAGTTTAAATTAGTAATAAATTGATATTTTTATTTGAAAATAATAGTATTATAGTAATAGATTTCTCTTTTCTTCTCATGCGCTTAAGATTGAGAAGAAAAGTTGAACTCCATTTTAATGGGTGACGAATAGCGTCCTATTCGATATCAAGTTCGATTATAAAAGTTTAATTTCATAATTTAATGGATTTTATCTGCGTGATCTATATTTCAATTTGACCCTAAAAACTTAATTAATTAAATTTTAATAAATTATAGGGAGAATTACACTCAGATTTCCTGAGATTTGTCACTTAATCACTTAAATCCCTGATATTTGAAATATTACACACAGACCCCTTAAAGTTTGTACGCACGTAACACTTAGACTTCTACTGTAAGTATATGCGTTAATAAATTACACCTAGACCTCTTGAAGTTTGTATGCATATAATACTTAAACTTCTTAAATTTAAAATGTTATACTTAGATAAAAAAAATACTTCAATCAATAATATCATTTATTGAAATAAAATCAAAAATAAAAATTTAAATTTTTTCTTAAAATATTGGTATCATATTGGTTCTCAATAAGATGTAGTGTAAATATGCATAAACATATACCTAGCATTGTGTTGATCTCCACAAATAATTTGTCCTATAATCGATAGACTTAATCTATTTTACAGAAAGATTTCAGACGACTTCTTGATATTGGATTCAATTATCTTGTCTCACGACTTTTTTGGATGATCACAGTCGACGGATTTAAAACAAATAAAATAACATCAAAATGATTGACAAAAAGAATGACATTTTTATTTATCTTAAAGGTTTATAGGTTACAATAAACTGATGAAAACAATCTCTTAAACTAATTCTAACTCTAAATCTAGTCTAAAACTACTCCTAAACTACTGAAGTTGTGGGTCTTTGATGGGTTTAATCGTATCTTCTCCTTAAAATTAAGGCCTCTTTTATAAGAATCCTCCCATCGATGGATACTCTAGCTTCTTCCATGTAGCCCTCCAATTTCTCCCTTGCTTCAATTGTTACTTTTCACATTCATGTAGTCCATTGATAATTGATGCATTTTCAAATTTCAAGATAACTGTTTAATTTCCTCCCTTA